GTAATGTTTCTCTTTCTGTATCTATAGCCATATTGTTTGGTGCATGTAGACTTTTGTTACAGTATTTTTATTATATAAAACCAAAACCCATTGCCATCGAGTCAATTCCGACTCATAGCAACCCTATAGAACAGAGTAGAACTGCCGATAGGGTTTCCAAGGCTGTAATCTTTACAGGAGCAGATTGCCATGTCTTTCCATCTTTCTCTTGCAGAGGGGCTGGTGGGTTCAAGCCACAACCTTTTGTTTAACAGCCGAGTGCTTAACATTGCACCACCAGGGCTCTTTTTTATTATATAAATAGTATACATTTAGTATGTAAAATTAGGAAGCAGAGAAAAGTCTAAAGAAAAATTTCGTATCACTTCTAATTCCTACTATCCTTAACCACTGTTAACATTTTAGTTTATTACCATCGAGCCTTTTTTTTCTCATGTATTTCTGTAATAAACTTATTACATTCTGTGTCCAAAATTTATTTTCTGCCTTTTTTTACCTAATATTTTAACATAAACATTTCTCCACATTATTAAAACTGCTCAAAGCATCATTTTACATATTTTTATTTAGCTTTACTTATTATTCCTCTAGTGTTGGGCATATTAGGTTATTTCCAATTTTCTGTTATCATGAATAACACTGTAATTAATACTGTGGAGCGTAAATCTTTGTCCACATTTTGGATTATTTCTTAAAGACAAATTATTGGAAGTGGAATTACTAGGTTACAGAATATGAGCAATTTAGGACTCTTGATATAAAAGACTCTTTTTTTAAATAATATTGAGTTTTTGGTGAAAGTTTATGCAGCAAGTTAGGTTTGATTTGATAGTTTCCACACAAATTGTTCAGTGACATTAGTTACATTTATCACAATGTGTCAACATTCTCTTTAATTATGTTCTGTTTGTTCCATTTCTAGTACTCTGGTTTCCCTGCCCCCTTATCTTCTCATCTTTCCTTCTACGTAATTGTTGACGTTTTGGTCTCATACTGATGGTTTTTAAGTAGGGTACCGATCTTACAGGTAATGTTCTTTCTTTTGTGTGCCACTCTGCTGTTTCGTTAAAGGGTGATCTCAGGGAGTAGGCTCAATTCTAGGTTTAAAGAGTGTCTCAGAGTGGTAGTCTCAGGAAGTCCTCTGTTCTCTACTCTTCCAGTTTGTCTGACTTTTTTTAAACTAACAATTTGAGTTCTGCTGCATATATTTCTCCCATTCTATCTGGGACCAAATATCGTGACTCCAGTCAGAATGGTCAGTGGTGGTAGCGAGGCACCATCTAGTTCTTCTGGTCTCAGGGTAAATGAGGTTGTGGCTCGTGTAGACTTGTTTCTTCTCTGAGCTTCTGGTTACCTTCTTATTGTTTTACTCCTGGCGAGATGAGACCCGTAGTTGTGTCTTCTATGGCTGCTCACTAGCTTATAAAAGGCTCTTGTTAGATAGTAAAATTGCTTTATAAAATGTCTGTAGCCCTCTCAGTCCCCAGTAGCCATGTTTATGACAATATTCTCTTCCCAGGTCATGAACATTTAATAATACCATGTCCTTGTTATACACCATGTTTCTTGTCATTATATTCTTACCCTTCTTATCTTACGTAATACTTTTTCATTAAAATTCTAATTTGATAGTGATATTGCAACTTGTCCTGCTCCTTTGATTAAATTTAGCTGCAGACTTTGCACAGGCTTTTCTTTATAAACCCTCCTGTGCTGCTCTGGTGTAGGTGCGCCTCTGGTGTGATATTGTTTAATCAAATCTGGGATGGTGTCTTTACGTGGGGAAATTTAGGCTGCTTTTCTTTATTGTTATGATTATTATGAGGCAGTGGTGGTTCAGTGGTAGAATTCTCACCTTTCACGTGGGAGACCCGGGTTTCATTCCTGTCTAACATACCTCATACCCAGTCACCACCCGTCTATCAGTGGAGGCTTGCGTGTCGCTACGATGCTGAACAGGTTTCAGCAGAGCTTCCAGACTAACACAGACTAGGAAGGAAGGCCTGGCGATCTACTTCCAAAAATCAGCGAATGAAGACCCTATAAACCCATTGCCTATTGAGTCGATTCCAACTCATAGCGGCTGTATAAAACCCTATGGATCGCAACAATCCAGTCCTGTTGTACAGGGGGTCGCCATGAGTCAGGGGCTGACTTGGCAGCTAACAACAACATGGTTGTATCTGGTCTGACCTCTGCCATAACCTTTTTTATTTTTTCCTTTTTTTGTTGTTGAAAATTACACAGCAAACCATAACACCAATTCAACACTTTCTACATCTGCCATGATCTTTTATGCTTTTGTTGTCTCCGTATGTTTTACCTTTTGATGAGTCTGCTCTGTTTACTTTCACCCTTGATTATAATTTGAAAGGTAAACGTTCCAGCTTTTATTTTGCTAGTGACTTTTAAAAAATATGTTAACATTCTTAGCCCTATATTTATACTTAACTAATAAAAAATGTTGCTTTCTATTCTCTTTCGTGGAATAAAAGGAATTTTTGAGGTTTTAAAGCTACTTTTCTTCCATGCTTTATATTTTTCACTGACTTAATCTGGTTTACTTAAGATGAAACCATTAGTGGTCAGTGTCTTTATTTCCTGAGCACTGTAACGTTAACGTTTAATGTGAGTGACCCCCGTGAATTCTCTTCACAACTCCCCTACCCAGGGCTTCTTTCTCTACTTCAAACCTAGGTGATTTGGGAAAGATTTTAAGTATTCTTTACAGAAAAGGTGCTTATCTGTTAAAATTTCAGAGACTTTGTAGATTTCTGAATATCTCTCTATTGTTCTGCAAATGAATACCCTGTCCACTAAATGCAAAATCCTAGAACTCACCCTTTCCCTTTGGAAACTGGGGAGAAGTTGTGGGGGGATCCTTGCCGGGCACTGATTGTGGCGAGGAGAAATTGGTAAAAGCTGAATTTTCACTCCTTCAAAAATAACTTGTCTTTTTCAGAGTTCAGCTAACCAGTTAACACTTACTGAGCCCTGGTCGCATCCCCAGTCCATGCGCTGGGTGCTTTCTACTCACTTCAGCTTGTGTTTCTACTTGATTGCTTCTGGCAGCCTGTCTTTCTCTTTTCGTTTAAAATGTTTACCAAGATTGGCCTTCTTGGTAGTTTTTGGCCATTCGTTTGTCTGAGCCCATTGACCACTGGACTGTGGGTAGTTTTGATTGTCTGCTAGGAAGGATAGTCATTAATTGCAGTACATTAAGATAGCAGACCCTGAAATTAATTCTGCCACAAATTCATTCTTGGTCTGGGTCTATCTCCGGCATGCCCTGATGTCCACCTCCACCCCTCCCTGTCCGTGGGCCTCTCTCCATCCCTCATCCAGGCTCCTCTACTCTCTGCCCTGCTCCATTTCTCAGTCTCTCTGTCTCTCAGCCCTGTTTTCCATTGTGCAATTATTGCTAATTAATTCCCAGTCAGAGTGATGGATGGTTAAATTTGCTTTCCTTGAGAGCTCTGTTTTCTCTTGCCTTGCCAGAGACTGGGCAGAATTCCAAGGTGCCTGGGGGCAAGTGGCCCAGGAAGGTGGGGTCTTGGTGGAGGAGGCCAGGAGAGCAGGTCAGGGCAAGAGTTTGAGAACCAGAGCCCCTCAAGACAGGGCCATTTTCATCTTTTTGTCCTTAAGAGACCGGGATATGCCGGAGCCTTCACACTTCCACCGCAGAGCCTTCTGCTGCCAAAAGAAACCAAGTGGACGCCAACAGCTCAGGAAATGTCTGCTGGAGTCTCTTGACAAAAGGGGAAAATTCTATCTTGCACCAGAGAGCAAAACTTGCGGAAAATCCTCTTAATCCATCTTTCCCCGGGGCTTCTCTCCTTCTTGTATCTGGGAGGTCTTCCTCTTGAGTCCCTCAGACACTTCTCGCCCCCTCCCTCTGCGCTTCTGAGCCTGAAGCCCTTTATTTGTGAAGCCAGTTTAGACTCTTTTGGCTGCTTTTTATTCTCTTCTTCTGTTTCTCTAAGCAGCAGCGTGAAGACCCAGGGGCCTGAGATCCTCCTGGGAGAGAGGAGGGGGAGGAGGTTGTGAATTCTTTCCCTAATACTTTATCCCTGTTGTCAACACCACCTCACCACATCGTCACCATCATCACCATCATCATCACTATCATCATCATCATCACCATCACCACCACCATCATCATCATCATCACCACCATCATCATCATCACCACCACCACCATCATCATCATCACCACCATCATCATCATCACCACCACCACCATCATCATCATCACCACCACCACCATCATCATCATCATCATCATCATCACCATCACCACCATCACCACCATCACCACCATCATCGTCATCATCATCATCATCATCATCATCACCATCATCATCACCATCACCATCATCACCAGCACCATCATCACCACCATCATCATCATCACCACCACCACCACCACCATCATCATCATCACCATCACCATCACCACCACCATCATCATCATCATCATCATCACCACCACCATCACCACCATCATCATCATCATCACCATCATCACCATCATCACCACCATCACCATCATCATCACCATCACCACCAACACCATTATCACCACCACCATTCCTCCTCCTCCTTGTAGTTCTCCTTCTTCTTCATCACAGTAGCTCCCATATTGACTGGCTCTGTGATAAGCATTTAATATACATTTTGTATTTAATCCTCACCACAACCTTGTGAGGTAGATGCTGCAGTGACCCCATTATGCTCAGAGAGGTCATCTAACTAGTAAGGAGTGAATTTGGGGTCCAAACCCTGTTCTCTGAACTCACTGCCCCAACCTCGGGACTCTACAGCCACCAAGATGCAGGCACTGGGGTCCTCCTTCCTACTGCAGGGCAAAAACACTCACCCTGGTGTCCCCCCACGTACACCCAAGTCTGTGCCAGACCCCACACCCAGGTTCCCTCCCCAATTCATGCTCTTCCTGCCCCAACCCCTTTCTGCTGTGTGCCCCTTCTCTTCCTGCACAGGTGTATGAGGGCGGGAGCAATGTGGACCAGTTTGTGACCCGCTTCCTCCTGAAGGAGACGGCCAATCAGATCCAGTCGCTGCTCAGTTCTGTGGAGAGTGCAGTGGAGGCTATAGAGGAGCAGACCAGCCAGATCCGGTGCGTTGATGGGCGGGGTCCAGCTTGCAGGCTTACGCAGGGATATGCCATGGGCGCACACACAAGCTTGCTGCTTGGTGGGGATATTTGTGTACTTAGGAGCTGGGTGACCTTGGACAGGCTGTTGCCCCTCTCTGTGCCTCCATTTCCTCATCTGTAAAATGGGGACAACTATATACCTCCTCCTCAGTCACTGTGAGGATTCGACAAGATAATATATGCTTAGAAGAATGCCTGCTGCACATATAGTAAGCACCATTTAAAACACTGTTTCCCAGACTAATGTTCCAGGCACAGCCTGGTTCAAACCCTGCAGCCCCGGGGGCTGCCCACTTGGCCCACTCATGGTCTGAAGACAGACATTTAATTTGCTGCTGGTTTGTAGATGCAATGATTGACTCAAAAACTCTGTGAGCGTTTCCTCTCCTCTGGGAGTCCGCTTTGCTCCCTCGGCACAGGGAGAGGCTGAGCTGCAAGGGTCACAGGAGACAAATGCTAGGATGTACCCGAGGCAGCGATGCTCAAAGGCAGGGAGGCTGGGAGCCGGGGTGTCAGCCATGCAGTTGTGTGTGTGGTTGGGTGTGTATTCTGTGCGGATATGCATGTCTGTGAGTGCATGTGTGTTTTGGCTCATCTGTTTGCACGTGGGGATCAGCCAGTCATTGCACATTTGTTGAGCACCTACTGTGTGCTGGGCCCAGTGTCAGTGAGCAGTGTGTGTGTGTGTTTCTCTGGCAAGGCGGCACCAAGCATGTCAGGGCATGCAGGTGGCTTTGCATATGTGTGCATGTCATGTGTATGGAGGGTGGCTCCTCTTTCTCAGCCTGGTTGAGGTCAGGATCACAGATTTCTCTGGGCTGTTATATCCCTACTCTCAGCTGTCTCGTAGAGTTCCCTTTTGGAGGAGGGTCTGGCTGGTGCAAGCCCTCCCCCCAACCCCTGAGGGCCCTGAACACTACCTTGGCTCCTAGTGAAGTGTGTGTGTGGAGCGGGTGGACATCTGAGTCTGCACAGCTTGGGCTCCATTGGTGCAGGGGGAGCTGAGAGCATTGGGGTGGACGGCCAGCTCCACCTTGCCACAGCCTTGGAGCTGAGCAGAGGGCGGGCAGATGAAGTGCTGGTGGAGAGCGAGCACCAGATCCCTGTGGGTCCAGAGTAGAGCTGAGTTCAAATCCCGGAGCTGCCCTGGGTATCTCAGTGGCTTTGGCCAAGTCACTGGCTTCCGGGCCTCAGTTTCCCCCTCTAAAACCAAGGCAGTAATGCCCACCTCACAGGGATGGGATTCCACAGGGGGAGTCCCTGCAGGTTAAGCCAGCACTTAATGTCCAAGCTTCTAAAAGTTGAGGTCAGGGCCTTGCAGCCTCTGTCACAGTCCGTGTGTTTCCCCCCACACACTGCAGACAGAACCACAGCAAACCCAGCCATGGCGTCACGGACACCTGGTATGGAAACGCCACACCCCCATATGCCCCCAGCCACAGGCTCGTGGCCACTGAACAAGGGAAGATGCTTCCGACTGGTGAGCGTGGGGCTGGGGTCGGGGCACCAGCTGAAGGTCCTTGGAGGGATTCTGAGAGTGCCTCAGAGTAGGGCCAGGGACTGGGAAGGCTAAGGGAGGCCCCGGGCCCCTAGGGAGGCTGGGACCCCCGCCCCCACCTACCTTGTCCCCCAGGCCTGCCCTGCCCACCATCAGACTCTCTACTCTCCTTCCCAGTCACTGCCAACCCAAAGGAGGAGGGCCTGGAAGCCCAGGTGAGCCGGCTGGCAGAGCTGATCGGGAGGCTGGAGAACAAGGTGAGCCTGGCTGAGTCCCACCTTACTCCTCCTCTCTCCCAGTCCCGTAGTGGGTGGGGAGTGAGGCCTGGAGCTCAGGACAGAAGTCAGGACTTCAGGGGGCTCAGGGGAGCCTGAAAGAGATCACCAGGTGGGTCTGTGGAAATTGAGGACAAGTCTCAGGATAGACCCCAGGGCCTGTGCCTGTTGTGCAGGCCCAGGAGAGGGGCCTGGAGAAGTGAAGGGGCTGTTGGAGAGGTGGGAGCGTCACAAGGAGCCAGGCGTCATCAACAGGGTCATGGGCTGCAAGAGGCCCTAGCTCATAGGGGAGCTTAAGGCCAAGGTGGCCTGAGCGAGTGGTGAGGCGGGAGAGTAGAAACAAAACAAAAGCAGTTATGTTGTTGTTAGTTGCTGTCGAGTCATTTCTGACTCACGGCAACCCCATGTGTGCCGAGTAGGACTGCTTCATAGGGTTTTCAAGGCTGTGACTTTTTGGAAGCAGATTGCCAGGCCTGGCTTCCAAAGTGACTCTGGGTAGATTCAAACCACCAACCTTTCTGCTTATAGTTGAGTGCTTAACCGTTTGTGCCACCCTCCCCAGGTATTACCAGCAGTATGGACTCTATTCAGTAAGATAGGGCACGTCCACAGGTAATGGAAAATGGTACCACCTGTCCAGAATTGTGTTTCCAGAGAATATTTCATAATTCAGTAGAGTATTCACAATATGTCCGTTGGGTAGAGGAAAACATTGTTGGCTGTGGGATTTGCGGACAGGCTCAGCATGAGGCTGCCCAGGGTCAGATCCTGGCTGTACCACATAACAGCTGTGTGACCTGGGGCCAGCATTGTGTCCTCTCTGAGCCTCAGATTCCTTCCTGCTCTAAAGATAGAGGTAAAAAATAGAATAGCACTCCCCTCATGGGGGTGTTGTAAGGATTAAATAAAATGATGTCTGCTAATGGCTTAGCACAGAGCCCGGGGCGTAGGTAGCATTTAATAGTAGCAATGCTAGCAATTACTATGTTATTAGACAGGGACACCAGAACCTATGCGCGTGCACACTCCATTCCCATATGCCTGCATGAGCCCAGGTGATAACAGGCACCTTCCAGCGGTGGGATGGAGGGAACCTTACGTTCCTTCGACGTTTCTGTATTTTTTACATCTTTTGCAGAGAGCATGATACTTTCATGGGTTTGGGGATAGTCTGAGGGAGTGTGGGGGCAGGTGGCGGTCCACCCCCCCCCCACTCGGAGGGCAGTCACTTGAGGGGACGTCCGCCTGGAACTAACCAGTAAGCAGGGTATGCAGGGGCTTGCTTGTGTTTATTTACTAATCTGTAGTGCACAATTTCATATGGGTTTGTGGTGAAAAACAGGTGAAATTGGTGCACCACGGATTAGTAAACACAAGTAAGTCCGTGGTACCTTACTTATTAGGTAATGCGTCCCTGCGTCCGAGGAGGCGGTGGGGGCGCCCACCTGCGGGCTGAGGCCGAGGTGGGACCGATATCCTTGAAGCGGGCTGCCGGTGGGAACGGCTCGGTGGGGACCCCTCGGCCCAGTTGTCATAACAACTCGGCAGGCGCAGAGGAAGGAGACTCTTTGAAGCTTATTTTTAGCGCCCTGGTCGCCCTAACAACCGCGCTGGAGGCCTGGAGCACCTGGGCGTGCTGGAGACAGGGCGGGGCCTCAGCTCCGCCTCTGATTGGCCTGGGGCCAGCAATGGCTGCGGGCGAGAGCCAATCCGGGGCTGGATCCCGGTCCTGGCCCCGCCCCTGTTGGCCCCCCTGCGCTGCCTCCACCTCCGGGGGAAAGGGCCTGAAGGGGGGTCGGGGGGGCTCTGGGCAGAGGGGTTGCGGGCGTCGGAGTGGGACTCTGGGCTCAGGGGGTGAGGAGGAGGGGCTCTGGGCAGACAGGGTGCCCTCATGCGCCCCACACTCCCTCCTCGTAGGGTCCTGACCTCCCGGAGCCCTGTATCCATATGAGGCCCTCTAGCCGCTTAGAAACCGCCTTCACGCAAAGCGTGTTCTCAGAAGCCAACAGCTCTCTAGAAATGGCTACGTAATTTGCTGGCCCAGTGCAAAATGAACATGGGGCGGGGAGGGGCTGTTAAAGAATGATTAAGGATTTAAAAACTGAGGCAGCAGAGCATTAAACCGAGCAGGGCCCTGTGACTGCACAGCTGTTCCCCTGAAGCCTGCCCTCCAAGCTCCGTCAACGAAGAGACGTGCTTTACCTGCGATGTGTGTAACAACCCAGGTGTGAGTCAACAGAGACCCAGTCTGCCCTGGTGGTGGGTGGGCAGGAATAGGCATACAGGTGGCGTTTATTGGGGAGTCCAAGTTAAAGAACGGGAAGCTGTGGGTCAGTGTGTGTGTCAGGCTGCGAGAGACCTCAGTTCAAACCCGGGCTCTGACACTGAACCTGCTTTGGTGACCTTTGGAGCCAGGGTTCTCAGCTGTGTAGTTGATCCACTCATTCAGGATCTCAGTGAGCCTCTGTGAAGTGCTGCTGTTGTGTTGAATGGGCCCTGACTCGTGGAGAAGTCATATATAACAGAATGAAGTGTTGCCTGGTCCTGCACCATCTTCATGATGGTTGGTATGTTTGAGTCCGTTGTTGCAGGCACTGTGTCAATCCACTGTGAGGTACTCGGTGATGAATGGAGTGGGCGAAGTTGCTGCTTTCTGGGAGCTCACAGTGGAGCGGGGCCTGCCTCAGGGTAGTTGGTAAATGAAATAAGATGTATCTGTAAAGTGTCTAGCCTGGGGCCTGGGAAGGAAAGGGAAGGCTGTCTGGGGGAGGCGAGACAACAGACCCCACCATTTAAGACCACCAGGTTCAAAGATTCAGATGGGGAGCCAAGGGTTCAAATGGGGTGATTTATAAGTTGATGGTGACTCTTCTGGGCTGTGGTCAGCAGCTGGGCGAAACCAGTACCCTAGATTTAGGACTCCTGAGTTTGCATCCCAGCAAAGCAGAGCCTCCTTCTGCCCTCTGCATAGTCTGCTGGCCTCTGTGCCCGCCAGGGCCAGAAGGGAGTCTGCAGCTTCCTATAGCGTGTGTCTTAGCTACTCAGGGCTGCTGGGACAAAAAACAGCAGAGGCTTTAAAGAACAGGAATTTATTTTCTCACAGTTCTGAGAGGTAGACATCCAAATCAGGGTGTTGACTATAGGAGGTCATCCTTCATTGTCTCCTTCAGCTTCTAGTAGCTGTCACAACCCTTGGCATTCCTGGGCCTGTAGATGCATCTGTCTCCGTTGTCACATGGCGTCTCCCTGTGTCTGTTCTCTCCTTTCTAAGACACCACTCAGAAGGGACTAGGTTTAGAAACCACTCTACTCCAGTTGTGGTTGTTGGGTGCCATGGAGTCGATTCTGACTCAGTGACCCCATGTGACAGAGTAGAACTGCCCCATAGGGTTTTCTAGGCTATAATCTTCACGGGAGCAGATTGCCAGGTCTTTTCTCTTATGGAGCCACTGGGTGCGTTCAAATTGCCCACCTTTCACTTAGCAGCCGAGCATTTAACCATTGTGCCACCAGGGCTCCTTCCTACTCCAATATGACTTCATTAATACAACAAAAGAAAACCCTAATTTTCAAACAGGGTCACTTTCACAGGTACAAGGGGGCAAAATTCAGTCCTTAACTGTGGGTCTCCAGGCCCTGGCTTCCTCTGACCCTCCCTCTAGCCTGGGGCTCTGGTGGCCTTGGGTGCTCCCTCGGAGGCCTCCCTCGGGGAGGTGCCCCCACCCACAGATTCACCTCCTCTTCCCTGTTTCAGACCCTCTGGTTTGACCTGCAGCAGCGACTCTCAGATGTCGATGGCACCAACATGGTGAGGCCCCTCCCCCAAGCCCTCACCCCTGCCTGAGCCAGGCTGGGGAGGGCAGGTGGCTCCAGGTCCCCCACTCCCACCCCACCATGAGCACCATCCTGGGAGCCAGCCTCCCCTCCCAGGTGTTCTCTGAGGGGCTTTGATCAAAAAAGTTTGACCAGAAACAAAGTGGTCAGCAGGACAGTGATGACAAAATGCAGGCTCGCTCAAAACTGGGTTTTGCTGGTCACTGGTTTTGTTGCCTCTAGGGCCAGATGCCCAATGGGCAGCTCTGCACGCTGGTGGGGCTTCTGTAGATACGTGTGTCCATTTGCAGGGACTGCTTTCTGATTTTTTATCTTTTAAATTTTTGATGCTTTTATAGACAGTTTAATGTACAAAAAATGAAAAGTGTGCACGTGGGGGGAGTTTGGGTTTTTTGTTTTTTTTTTTTTTTGACCACTTTGTGCTGTCTCTCTGAAGGGAGGCAGTGGGCGGATGGCTGGGCCCTGTGCTGTGCCCATCAGGATGGGTGGAGGTCCGAGGGGAGAGCCTAGCAGGGAACGAGAGGGGGTGGCTGGCTGCCAGTCCACACGCCCCCAGCTCACGCCCCCTCTGGCCTGCAGCACCTGCAGCTGGTCCGGGAGGAGATGGCCGTGTGCCCTGAGCAGCTGAGCGAGTTCCTAGAGTCGTTGCGGCAGTACCTGCGGGACACCGCCGGAGAGAGGAACTGCTTCCAGTGAGTGATGATGCAGACTTGGGGTGGGGGGGAGCAGGGACTCCTAGCTTCACCCCAGGAACAATCCATATTCTTGGAAGTGGCCTCATGGGGTGGTGAAGAGAGCTGGGTTCGAATCCTAGCTCTGGCTCTGCAGGGCTGTGTGAGCCTCCTGCCCTCAGCTTACCAATCTGTAAAGTGAGACCACTTGTGGGCCCTACTTCTGGGGTTGTGAGGAGGTGTGACTGGAGTAGTGCGTGTGAGGGTACCCAGCCTACACTCACTCTGTGCTAGCTGCTACTGTTAACTTGTTGCTGTCATCATGGTGGGTGGGTGTGGTCATAGACTTAGCACTGTGTCTGGCACATGGTACATGCTCACCAAATACTTGAGGGAGGAAGAAAAGCAGAGCTGGCGAGGCCCGAGGTAAATGCCCACCTTTCTCTTCCTTGTCACCCTTCCTCAAGACGGGTGGGGTACAGCTGGAGCAGCAGCCCCCACGCTGTGTCTCCACACTCTGGGCTGCCTCTGAGGGGCCTCGCCTGCCGATTACTGCCCCACTACCCAGGGCGGTGTTGCAGCTCGGCCATGTTTGGCCGCAGTGGCCACATCTGAGGGGTCTGCAAAGACGACCACCCAGCCCGCAGGCTGTGATGGTCCAAAGGCTGTCGGCAGAAGCTGCCTGGGTGCTCTCGCCCCACCTTCCCAGCCAGCCCGCAGGCCCACTGTCAGTGCCAGGACAGGAGCCATAGCCTCGAGGTCTCCCTGCCTCAGCTTGGCTGGCTGCCGCCTCCCCCCTGCCCCCCCCGCCCCATTCATTCAACCTGCATCTCATTTCCTGAATGGTTGGACTTTGTGGAGACATGCTGTCCTGGCTGAGCACTCATGCTTGGCGGGAGGGGGCAACACCAGACAAAGAAAAGTAGGTTCCGGTGATGATACCAAAAAAACCAAACCCGCTGCTGTCGGGCTGACTCCAACTCATAGCGACCCTATAGGTTTTCCAAGGAGCCCCATAGGGTTTCCAGGGAGCAGCTGGTGGATTCAAACTGCTGACATTTTGGTTAGCAGCCAAGCTCTTAACCACTGCGCCACCAGGGCTCCTAGGTGATGATAGGGGCTGGGAAGACAGGGGAACAGCGTCCTGCACGAGAAGCTGGAGCGCCTGGGAGGGGTTCCATGGGCACTGAGGTCTGAGTGACTCTGAGGGAAGAACATTCTGGGCACAGGAGTGGCTACTGCTGTGACCTGGGCGGGAGCAAGGGTGACCTGCTCAAGAAGAGAAAGTGGCAGGCAGGGCTGGAGGGTGAGCCGCTGGCCGGGGAGCCTCAGGGCAGGGGGCTGGGACAGGGCTCCTTTGGAGTGTGATGGGATGGGCCGTGCTGAGACTTGAGCAGCAGGAGCAGCCTCCTCCTCACCCTGTGTGCGAGGGTGGGGGTGGGGATGGGAGTAGCTGACAGTGAGGAGAGGACAACAGGGGGCTGGGTCTGCTTTGGAGTAGACTTCATAGGGTTTGCTCCTGGCTTGGATGAGAAGCAAGGTTTCTATCTTCAGGACCTGGATGGGGGGTGGGGGGTGTTTACTGGGATAGAGAGGGGGCCATGTGGAGAGGCCTCGTTAAATCTGAGATGTGACATGCGAGTCTGGAGACTCTGGGGGAGGGCACGGCTGCAGCAGGGTTGGGGTCATTGGTGCAGACGGTGGGTGCTTACCTGGGCAGGCACAGTGGAAAGAGGGGTAGACCAGGACTGAGGGGGACGGAGAGGAGGAGGAAGAGGCAGCCGGCCACCTCCCCTCTGCAGCCTGTCCTGATCCCCCAGGCTGAGGCAGCCCCTCTATGTCTTGGTCCCCCCCCATCACTTTGGTCCACTCAGTTGTACAGCTTGGCAGATGCCCACCGCACCGCGCAGCCCTTCCCGGGGCAGGGAGCATGTGGAGGGCTGGCGCCTAGCAAGGCTTCCACGTCTGTGTGCTGAATGCCCGCCTGTTTGGGCAGAGGCCCCATCACCAAGCAGATGCACTCATCAGGACTGCTCTCACTGCATGGCGGTAGCCCAGTTTCTTGGGATGCCCTCTGCCTGCCAATGCCAGCGCATCCCCGTCTGGTCAAGGCCCTGGGGTGACGTCTGATTTGCAGGGGCATACACCCCCTCCCCATCCTCCAGGCAAGTTAAGAGCCCCACAGCTGTGTGTGTAATTTTAGCTGGAGCAGAATAAACTAATGATACCATTAGGCCTGTTTCCCTGCCTCCCTCCTGGGCGGGGAAACCTGGAATTGCTGGTGATTTATACAGCAGAACGGCCCTGACAGTTCTCTTCTCATCGAGTGATGCTGGGGGGTGGAGGCTTCTGTTCTGTTGAGCATGTGAGAAGGAATGGGGCCAGACGGGGCGGGGACACGTCAGAGATGGTGTTGTCTTGGGGTGGGCCCTCAGCACCCCAGGTACCCCACATGCCCCAACATCATGGAGCCACCCCTTTGCCCTCTGCTTGGCCTTGCAGTCTCAGCCCAACTTCAGATGAGGAGAGAGCCACAGAGAGGGTGATCAGGTGGTGATCCCAGAGGACCCCAAATCCAGGGCAGGGCCCTCCTGTGCCTTGGTATCCTTCGTCAGGACAGTTCTGACCTCACAGGGTGGTTGTAAGGATTAGATGAGATTGTGATTAGGAAGGCGAGCCTGGCAGGCTGAAGATGCTTTTGTTGTTAAAGGTAAGGCTTTCGTAGATGATGATGAAACCTTTCTCAGTGACATTTGATGACAGTCCACCCAGCAGATGTGTTGGCCGCGACAGGGTGCTGGCCTGGGTCTAGCTGGTGAGGCACCATTCTAGCAGAGGCTTTGAGTCAGGAAAGTGGCAGCTCCCCAGCATGGCCTTCCCACTTCCCAGGCACTCCCCTAGCTCTGCCAGGCCCATCGTTCCAGGGTCTTGGGCTGTCCCCTCGCCTGTCGCATTTGCTCTGGCTTCCGAGTGCAGGAAGGGTAGAAGCAGCGGTGGCAGAAGGCAGTATGTGCAGTGGCTCTGGGCTTGTACATACCGCCCCCTCTCTTCTCCCCTCGCAGCATCGCCGCCATGAGGCTGTCCGATGGCTTCACCTTTGTCGTCTATGAGTTCTGGGAGACCGAGGAGGAGTGGAAGAGGTGGGCACAGCGGCCACTGGTCAGGGACAGGGGTGTGGGGAGGGTGGCCCCATCCCAGCCCACAAGCTGTGATGAGTCCAGCCCTGCCTGACTTAGTCTGGTGACAGGGACTGAACCTCCAAGGCCTCAGTTTGCTCATCTGTACAAGGGGGTGCAAGCAGCACCCACCTCCTGGGTGACTTGGGGGTGGAACCCCCCTGCCCTTTGCGTGGTGCTTGGCTGAGAAGGTTCTCAGTCAAAACAGGCTGTTCTTGTTCCCAGGGAGGCAGATGACAGACAGGGCTTGTTGGGCACGGTCCTCACTCCATGCCTGCGTTGCCAGTCTTGAGCCAAAAGGAAAGTTCTCTGTTTGTTGAGGACACTCACTGGAAGGCAGAACCTGGCTGTCCCCCCCAGACCTGCCCCATGCTTCTCTGGGATCCCTCGTCTTCACACACACAGCCTGGCGGGCAAAGCAGGATGAGCACCCGGCCCCACCTTGAGCAGGCACCCCGAGAGCTGACCTTGTCCCCTGGGTTGCAGGCATCTGCAGAGCCCGGCGTGCAAAGCATTCCGGCACGCCAAGGTGGACACGCTGAGCCAGCCCGAGGCCCTGTCCAGGATCTCCGTGCCAGGTGAGGGTGGGAGGCTCGGGACAGAGCCGGGAGGTGGGGTGGGGAACAAAAAAGCCTTGCCATCCAAGCAGGAGTGGGGTCCTGTATGGGGAGACAGCGGAGTTGAGACAAGGGCCAAGGCCAGAGGGAAGGAGGGCCCCTGCCTGGTGGGATCAGCCAGGCACTGCCCAGTTCTTCCCATGACTTTGTATTTTGCTCAGTTGGCTACACGGGTGAGTCACAGTGGAGATGTGTGTGCTTGGTGCAGACGCTGGGTATGTAGGAAGGGTCCTAGAGGCAGCATGCTCTCAGAGATCAGGGCTAAGGTCAGGTGAGACCCGGAAAGAGGAGAACAGGGCATGAAGGTGACCATACAGCCACAGAACAGGTGTGGGGCCAGAGCAGGAGACTCAGAGGGGAGCAAGGTGAGACCCGGAGCACCAGAGAGGTGGCCCCCAGAGCCCACAGGTGGTACAGATGGGAGGGGGCTGGGGCCGAGACCCTAGCACTATCTCCACCCAGACCAACACCACCTCTGTGGCTGCTGACTTGCTGGCCAGGTGGCCGCAGGCCCTGTGCGCACACAAAAGGCCCATCTCTTGCCGTGCTTCCTCCCTCCCCACAGCCCCACACTCTGGCAGCATGCTCCCCCACCCCACCTCCGGGGCAGCCCCAGCCTGGCGCAGAGCTGGCACTTGATGAATGAGGCTGTGCTTGTGGTAACCGCTCTCCTGCCCTGAAGCAGATGAGGAGCAAATGCTTCCATGGCCGGGCGGGGGGAACCGCCACCCTCAGCCCTCCCTGCCTTCCCCACCTGCCAGCTGTGCCCTCCACGTGACACAGGAGGGGCACCCATCCTCAAACCTACATTCTGTTGTGTGTCTCTGTCTTTCCCTCCCTCTCTCTCTCTGTGTCTCTTCTCCAGCTGTTTGGTGCACGGTGGCCCGAGACTGACCACCACCTCCCCGAGGTCCCTAGAAGAGCCCGTCCGCCTGCCCTCTCTTTTCTATGAACCTTGGTGTATGTGCTCTCTTTTCAATACACTTCTAAACCAGAATGTATGTTCCTGCTGTTTGAAGTGAAGGACCCCATGTCTCCCATCCCTTCCTTGCTGGCAGAGCAGCACCCAAGCCGCAACTCCTCCTGTAGCCACAGGCCATTGGGCAGGGGTTTCTGGTGCCAGCACCACCATCTTACCTCCTGGGCACCCAGCCACTCCTCCCCTTGACCACAACGCATGACCCAGCCCTGGTGCCCACCTGCCCCGGACCCCTCATGTTCTGGTAGCAAAGGCTCAGCAGGAATCGCCCATGCCGCCTCTCTCTCGCCTCCCTGGTTATAACTACCTGTAGGAGCCGTGACCCTGTAGTGCCCAACCCAGGCCTGGCCGAGTCCACGGGCACAGAGCCCATGTCACAGTGTGGCAGACGATGCTACTGTGGACACAGGCACCAAATAAACTCCGGTTGGGAACGCCTGTGTGCTGTGCCTGTTTCCTGTTCTCTAGTTGATGCTAGCTGGTTTGGTGAAAGCTGTGAGGGTGCCTGGGGCCCCTTCTTAGCTGTGAACCGTGACCCAGTCACCCTCTCTAAGCCTCAATTTTCTCATCTGTGAAATGAAGGCAGTAACACATGGCAGCACAAGCCCATGGGAAGATGCTCAACATCACTGTCGGTAGGGAAATGCAAATCAAAACAAATCATTGTGATGAGATGCCACGTCCCACCCACCAGGCTGGCTGCCATTTTAAAAGACAACAACCGGAAACAAGTGCTGGAGAGGATGTGGAGGAGTTGGAACCCTCAGAACACCGCTGGTGGGATTGTAAAATAGTACAGCCACTGTGGAAAACAGTTTGGCGGTTCCTCAAAGAAGTTAAAACAGAATTACCATATGACCCAGCAATTCCACTCCTAGTTATATACCCAAAAGATGTGAAAGCAGGGAGGCACACAGATACTGTTCACAGCAGCACTGTTCACAATAGCCGAAAGGCGGAAACAACCTAAATGCCCATCAGCAGATGGTGGACAAACAAAATGTAGCACATACACACCAAAACCAAACCAAACCCACTGTCACTGAGTTGATTCTGACTCATAGTGACCCTACAGGACAGACTAGAACTGTCCCATAGGGTTTCCAAGGCTGAAATCTTTACGGAAGCAGACTGCCACATCTTTCTCCCATGAAGTGGCTGGTGGGTTTGAACCGCTGACCCTTTGGTTAGCAGCCATGCATTTAACCACTATGCTACCAGGGCTCCTACATACATACAATGGAGTATTATTCAGCCATAAAGAGAAATGAAATCCTGCTACACACTAGGACGAGGATGAAAACATTATGCTGAGTGAAAGAAGCCAGACACACAAAGACAAATCTCATATGATCCCACTTATATGAACTATCTAGAAGAGGCAAGTGCATAGAGACAGGAAGTAGAGGTTACCAGGGGCAGGGGGAGTGGGGAGTTGTGTTGGGGGGAGAGTGGATACTGAGTTTCTCTTTGGGCTGATGAAGATGTTCTGGAAAGAGACAGTGTTGATGGTTACGTAGCATTTTGACTGCATCCAGTGCCACTGAATTGTAAACTTAAAAGTGGTTAAAACAGTGAATTTTATGTATATTTTACCACAATTTAAAAAAATAAAATAAAACTTTTTTTCAAATGGAGGTGATAACAGCTTTATGATGTAGGTGTTCCAAGAAGTAAGCTCACATCTGTAAACTGGCTATTCCAACAAGACAGGAGACCAAGCCCCTGGCCTCGAGTTAATGTTCCAAGTCCCGTTCCAGAGGCTTTGTGACTCCCCTCTTCCCTTTCTCTGTCCTGGTTAGCAGAAAAGACCTTCATACACTAAAGTCCTAAGGGCCGCAAGGATGGGGAGAGAGGTGGCCCTCTCGTAAGACAGGAGAGGGGGACAGAAAGGGGCAGAGGAGCGGAAGCCTCACAGAGGGGGTCTGGGACGGCACATCTCCCCTTGCTCTGCCTGGCCCGGGGCTGACAGCCAGTTATTAAGTGGCTGTTAGGAATGCCACCCCGACCGGCGAGGCCCCTGCCCATGCTGTTTTGCCCCCACTGGCTCCTGGGAGCCCCTGCTGCCATGGCAGGTCCCACCTGCATCCCTGGGACCTGCCCCCTCCTAGCTGCCTCTGGCTGCGTTGGGTGCCAGCCACACTCACGCAAAACCAGTGAAACAACGTGGGCTTGTCGGAAGAACGAAATGCAGTTTCCAATCCCAGCTCTACATCTCCAAGTGGAAGGTCCTTGCACAGAGCTCTAGGAGCCTTCACTTTCTCATCTGTAAACTGGGGACAAGACCTCCACTTTGAAGCCTCAGAGGCAGCCTGGCTCATAAGGAGGCCACCTGGCTCATGAGAATGCCACTCACGCCCCTGCTGGCAGTGGCAGCAAGCACAAGAGCTGCCCCTGCCCCCACCGAAGCTGGTACTTTTCCAACCACCCCAGCTATTTTAAAAATAATATTCTCAGGGGCTGAGGCTCTCCGGGGCACAACTAGGAAACCCGCTCAGCTGGGCTGCATCCATGCATCTGCCCTGCTTGCCCCACACTTCCCCACGTGGTAGCATCTCTGCTGCTCCTGGCCCACGAGTGCTTAGAGCCTTTGTGCCTCCTCAGGATGAGTGGGTGGGAACAGGCTCTGAACAGAACAAATCTCAGCCCTAAAAAGTATATATAATAGCTCCCACTTAATTTACGCTCCAGAACCACATGTGGAGTCAGTTTGCAGGCACCACCTCACTCCATGTGCATGCCGTCCTATGTGGCAGATGGGGACACTAAGACCAGAGAGGGCAAGTAACTTCCCAGAGGTCACACGGCAAATGAGTGGCATAGCTAGGATCCAAACTAAGAGCTCCCCCACACCCCAGTCTGTGTTCTAACCACTGGACCAAGATCCTGATCGGGTTACTCAAAAGTTAAACACATTGGGGGACATCTAGGTCAACTGGCATAACATAGTTCGTAAAGAAAATGTTCTACATCCTACTTTCGTGAGTAGCGTCTTGGGTCTTAAAAGCTTTTGAGAGGCAATCTAAGATACATCTATTGGTCCCATCCCATCTGGAGCAAAGGAGAATGAAGAAAACCAAAGATACAAGGAAAATATTACTCCAAAAGATTAAAGGACCATATGAACCACAGCGTCCACCAGCGTAAGCCCAGAAGAACTAGATGGTGCCCGGCTACCACCATCCACAGCTCTGACAAGGATCACAATAGAAGGTCCCGGACAGAGTAGGAGAAAAATGTGGAACAGAATTCAAATTCACAAAAAAAGACGAGACTTATGGGTCTGTCAGAGAGTGGAGCAACCCCCAAGACTATGCTCCCCAGACACCGTGCTAACTCAGAACTGAAGCCACTACCAGAGTCTACCTTTCAGCCAAAGATTAGACAGGTTTATAAAACAATAAAACATGTGAGAGACATGCTTCTTAGTTTAATCAAGTATATGAGACCAGATGGGCAACACCTGCCCAAAAGCAAAGATGAGGAGGCAGGAAGGGACAGGAAAACTGGACGAATGGACTTGGGGAACCCGGAGTGGAAAGGAGGGAGTGCTGGCACATTGCGGGGATTGCAACCAATGTCACAAAATGATTTGTGTATGTATTTTGGAATGAGAAGTTAATTTGTGTTGTAAACTTTCACCTAAAGCACAATAAAATTAAAAAAAAAAAAGTTAAACACAAAATTACTATATAAAGCTGCAATTCCACTCCTAGGTATACACTATACCCCAAAGAATCGAAAATAGGTGTTTGAACAAGCACATGTACACGCATATTCACAGCAGCACTATTCATAACAGCCGATCAATGCAAGCAACCCAAATGTCCATCAACCAACAAATAAAATGTGGTGCATCCATACACTGGAATGCTATCCATAAGGAACAGTAAAGGCCTACAATGTGGATGGACCTTGAAAATTTTATGCTGAGAGAAAGAAGCCAGTCACAAAGGGTACCACTTAGTGAGGGGACAGTCTGGGGGATGGTTCATGCCTGTCAGACCGCAGAAGGTGTTTCAGCTGAGATTTCTCTGATCTCATGATGTCCTTGTGTCATGCCCTCAGCCTCTGGAGGTGTGGATTTGAGGCTCAGTCATATGAAGAGCAGGTCTGCACCTGTCACGGATCGAGACATAAGTCACTGTCCCTAGTGATGACATTCAGTCACCCATTAAATTAAAGAGCCCTGCCCTCAGCTCTTCTTAACATTTAGTGCCAGACCACTTCCCTCCTGATGTGCTTTCCTGCCTTTGGTTGGGCTCTGGGCTCCTCAGATTTCCCTTTTCCCCTTGGCTGCCAGGAAGCTCAGTGGTCACCTGCCAATCTCAACCTAGGTTTTCGGGAACTAAAGCTGCCATTGCCTGAGAGTCTACTGTGTGTGAGGCACCCCATCAGCTGCTCTGGATATGTTATCACCTTTAATCTCCACCATAATCCTGCATCATATACACCGTTCCCATGTTGCTGGTGGAGAAATGGATTCTTACATAAGGATCATAAACTGGCCCCAAATCCTGAGAGAGCAAATAGCAGAGCTGTTCACCCACTGCTCTTTGTGTGGCTGATCCCTGCCCCACCATGCTATCTCCTAGGACCCTTGCAGGAAGGGTTTATCACAGCCCCGGCCTTCTTGGCCAGCTGCCACCAAGCCTTTTAGGAAGCAGACAGGATATAAATAATAAATAAGTGACTGTTACCCATTCTTGCTGCCCACTCTGGGGAGGTAAATGACCCATTAGGACAATTGTGCCCCAGCACATGTCCTGGTCCCTGAGGCCCTAGCCCTGAAGGCCTGTGGCCACTGAAGATAAGGTGTGGCTGGTTGTGGGGGGCTGGTCAGAGAGAGGCTTGCAGAATGGCTCTGTGTCCCCCTCACTGGTTGGAGTCTATACTTGCAGCACTTCTCAGCTCCAGGGTGGAGGAGGGCAGAGGGCTCCTCCTAGCCCAGGCTAGGCATCCTAGTCCCTACCCCTTGGGCCACTCTTTGGTGATACGTGGAGTGGAAAGGAAATGGACGATGGCATCCAGCCCGAAATCAGTACTGGCCCCATCTCTGTACCTCACAGGGCAGGTCTTGACCTTCCCAAGCCTCAGTTGCCTCACGTAAAATGGATGTATTAGAAAACATCATGCTCAGTGAAAGAAGCCAGCCACAGAAGACCACGTACTGTATGACGCCATTTATATAAAATGTCCAGAAAAGGCAAATCTGGAGAGACACGAAGTGTATTAGTGGTTGCCTAGGCTTAGGGGGAAGGGGTGACACAGGGGGAAGTATTTTCTTGTGGGAGTGATGAAAAGCTTCTGGAATTAGATAGTGGTGATGGTTGTACAACCTGTGAATGTACTGAAAACCATTCCATGCAGGTGGACAGGTGGGAAAAAACGAAGAGTGGACACATGGCCACCAACCTCGCGCAGCACATGTACAGGCTCCATGACGTAACCCACAGAGAGCCTGGCCACTGCCTTCCCCGACAAAGGTGGCCTTGAATGTCAGCCCTTCCTCTTCTGTGCTGGGTGCTGCTCACTTCGAGGATGATGTCCCAAGGCAGAGAAAGAGTGACCTGAATCCATCAGTGTCTGGGACATCCCCACGGCCCTGTGCGGCATCAGTGCGGACGAGCCCAAGGACATGGCTGGCCTCCCTGGCCCCGCCGCTTCCCTCCCTAGGCCCTAGGCAGATACTCCATCTTGTCCTCTCTTTAGCCTGAGTAGGGGCTTTCGCCCACTGTGCACTGCACCTACCTGATGTTCCTGATCCCAACACCACCCAAGCAGGGCTCCCTGGGCCTCAGCCCCCGCCCCCACGATGGCACCAGAAACCCTGTGCACTAGCGGAAGCCCAGCTGAACAGCCTGCGGAGGCGAAGGCGTTGATGTTGGAAACAAGGGTCGTCTGTTGGGCAGTGGACGGGGGTGTGCGGAGGACGCTCCTGTTTAGAACAGCTCCAGGACAGCTGCCACTGTGCTCTGGCCGAAGATGAAGGTGCCCACCAGCACGGAGGCGACGCCCCAGAGCTCCAGGCAGCACCTGCCGACGTAACAAACCCGTGTCAGCACGCGCCCTTCTGGGCCTCTGAAAGACATGCCCAGTGCTCGAGGGAACAGCTCAGTATTCTGGGACAAATTCGGAGTATTCTCCTTTACCTGTAGCGATGGGCTCAAGACAACGGGAAATAAAGTACCCACCAAAAACTACCTAGGCAATTAAAAAAAATTCTCCACCTGTGATTTCAAAACCTCATCCTGCCCTAATATCCTGCCAAATACAAAGACATGGGAGGGAGGGTCCTAGTTACAAACTCCATCCTTTTCTGCCCCTCACATTGGCAAAACCATCCAAAGTGAGGGAGGAGGAGAAGATTCTAAGACACGCAATGGAGTTGGACAGGGCCTCAGATTCCACAGTGGAGACAGTAGCGGCCTGGGTGGGCGGAGGCGGCCAGGACTGGCGGCAGCTGAGGTCACATTTGCAGCCTCATAATGTAACCAGAAAAGACGGGAGGCAGACAATGAGGTGAGAGCAATAATAAGGTTCCCACAAAATGGCACGGCTGGCAGATATTTCTGGCCCCATTAAGGCCAGAAAGCTCTGTTGTCATGGAAGGAACATCTCTGGCCAGGCAGATGCCCGGGGCAGTAAACACCCGACCACCCAGGGTGAACGTGACCTTGCTGCAGCATTGCTTGAAGCCTCTTCTATGGATCAGAGGGAAGAAGAAAGGAAAATATCTTGAAAGCTCATCAGTAAAAGCTGTTATGAGCTTGGACCCAGGGACAAAACAAAAGCAGTATTTCAGAGCCTGCTGTAGGGAGTGAACCCTTTAGACGGTCACCAGGCAACCAGGGGGCCAGCTCTATAACAGAAAGCCCTTCTCTGCCCAGAAGGGGAGCACGCTGGACCTGCCACTTTGATAAAACCAAGCTGGGGCTCCGTGTGGTGGGAGAAACAGGGATGTGGAGGCACCAGCCTGCACTGAGGCCCAAACCTACGGCCTGCCAGCTGTACAGCTGAAGCACATCTATAGTGGGTTAGGTGGCAGCCTCCAAAAAGATATGTGGCCTGTTCGGAAATTAGAGTCTTGCAGATGTAATTAGCTAAGAAGAGGTCATACTGGATTAGGGTGGGTCCTAAATCCAATCACTGGTGTCCTTGTAAGAAGACACCCAGGGAGAAGGCCATGTGACAATGAAGGCAGAGATCAGATGGACGCAGCCACAAGCCAACGAATACCAGCAACCACCAGAAGCTGGAAGAGACAAGGAAGCCTCCTTTCCTAGAGCCTTCAGAGAGAGAATGGCCCTGCCACTACCTTGATTTCAGACTTCTGGCCTCCACAACTCTAAGACAATCAATTTCTGTTGTTTTAAAAAACCCAGTGTGGGTAATTTGTTATGGCAGCCCCAGCACCCTCACACAGCATGTTTCCCCCTCTTAGCCTCAGTTTCTACATCTGTGAAATGGGAGTAAAAGTTGTGCAGACTCTCTCAGACCCGACAAGGTCCTCCCCCTCTGTGGGCTGCAACCTCCCATCTACAGAGGAGGCTGGGCAATAGGGTCTCCAGCATCTACTGCATACACGCTCATGCTTGTGGACTCTCACCAGAGCCTCTTGCGTGCCCAGTTCACTGCCCCTCCTCTGGGGACACTTACTTGAGTCCTGGCCCCAAGGGCTCGATATCCATGGCACAAATGAGGCACAGACCTGTGAAGGGGAAATGGGGACACTCCTGAGTGCCCAGGGGCTCCATCCACATGCAGTAGGGACCCCAAGGGGCCAGGCAGGGCCTCTGCCCCAAGGTGGCCCAACTGCCTCATGCCCCTTCAGGAGGGGAGAGCGCAGAGGTGAAGGCCCGGCTTGGAGCTAGAAGGACTGGGTTTTGGGGTCTCAGCTCTACATCTTGTCAACAAAGGAGGTCAGGCAGTAACTGAACCATGTGAAGTTCACATATTCAAAGACATTACTTAATAAATAACATAGAATCCCCTAGTGTGAGGTGGCAGTAATAGGTGGGAAGAGGGGTGGGTTTGAATCTCAGCTCTGCTGCGTTCTAACTCGTGTGGGCCTGGGGGTCCCTGGGCCTCAGTTCTCTCATCTGTAGGATGAGGATGATGACAGTACTCCCATTCTGGGCTGCTGAGATGTTTAAATGGGGAGGTTGTAGAGCACCCAGCCCCGTGCCTGGCTCGAGTAGATGCTCAACAAACAGGGCTGGGAGCCACCCAACTCGATGGGGCTTCCCCCCAGAGCTGTGGCCTTAGGGAGCCCACAGGCCAGCAGTGGGAACCCTGCAGAGCCGAGCTGGGGCAGGAGGAATGTGCGGCTAGGAAGCTGGGCTGGGGGCGTCTCACCTGGGAAGATGAAGATGAAGAAGGAGCTGATGCCACCAATGATGCCGATGACCTCACCGAGGTCAGGCAGGAGCAGGGCCATGGTGAGCGTTGCGGCGACCCATGAGATGGTCAGCGGCATCCGCACCCCTAACCCTGAAGGGTCGGGGGGAGCCCTGCAGCAGCTCCTCTTCCAGAAGTCCTGCAGCACCGACCTGAGGCCACGCCCACCACTGACCAGGGCCGCCAGGTGGCCCAGCCCTCACTGTCCCCTCCAGGCCTCCCGACCAACCCACAGGAGACCAGCAGAGAGGGCCAACAGGAGGCAGGCCAAGTGCATGGGCTGACACTCAGGGTCTCGTCTCCTCAGCTTTGAGATGAGATGACAGCAGTCCCTACACCTCGTGCTAGCTTGGCACCCAGCACACACTGAGTCACAACAAACATTAGTCATCATGGATGTTCTTCCCGGGGTGCCCAGCACCACGACGGGCCCTAGGCAGGCACATCGACAGGTTCTAGGGCCGAAAGACAAGGATACAGCAGCCAGCAGTGCTGCTGGCAGAGAAAGATGCATCAAGTTGGAGAGAGCATGAGTCCATGAGAGAGACAGCGAGACAGGCAAGCTACGTTGCCATGCAAGGTTGGAAGAAGGTCCTGAAGGTGACTCTCTGACCTGGTGTCAGGAATAGCCATGGGTCCTGAGTAATTGGCTTGTTTCCATTGTTAAGGACCTGGTGGATCACATGACTGACCAGGTTTCCCTCTTCACCTTGGCTGCTGGGAGCTTGGCACCACTTTCTGGCCCTTTCCAAGCAGGTACAGGGCCACTGTCTTGCAACTCTAACCTGCTTATCTATCTGCCTTTTGTCTTCACCTTCCTGTAAACTGTCTTTTCTTGCTGTACTGCAGGCACTTTAAACCAGCTTTGTGATTATTTATCTGCCAAACAGCATGGAATTGGATGAGATACATATAAATAACACGCACAGGAAGAAGGCCATGTGAAAACAGAGGCAGAGATTGATGTGATGCTGCCACAAACCAAGGAGCGCCAAGGATGGGCCAGCAACACCAGGGGCTAAGAGACAGACATGGAACAGATGCTCCCTGGAGACCTGACAGGGAGCAAGGCCCTGACAACACCTTGATCAGGACTGTGGCCTCCAGAACTGCGAGGGGATAACTCTGTTGTCTGAAGTGTCCCGGTGTGTGGTGATTTGTTAAACGGCAGCCCCAGGACCCTCACAGCCCCTCCTCCACCAAGGCAGGACCCGGACCATGGGAGGCAACAGCCATGAGGAGAGGGTTCCATGACAAGCCAGGCCTCACCTCCCCAGGAAGAGCACGATGGGGTAGACGGTCACAATGGAGACGGCAAACAGGACTCGGGCGACGATGACAACCACGTCGTTGCCAGGGTAGGACATTAGGATGTCAGCAGAAACACCTGCCCCGAAGGTCAGGAAGCCGTAAGCCCCTGGGAGGTGGGATAGTATGGAAGCCAGGGAGCACCAATCAGAGAAAGACTGTGGCCCCCACGCCCACACACTGACAGCACCTGGCTTTACCACCCCTGGGGTGGTCTTCAGGAGCTGACAGAGGAGCTGGGGAGGGTCTTGCTATCCTGTCATTTCCCAAGACCTTCCTGTCCTAAGCCTGCGTGTTACTCTGCTCTCTGACTCACAGCTTCTGCTGGGCAGAATGAGGGCTGCCCCTCCTCCTCTTCGCCTGCAGAGCTGGGTGGGCCTGCCTGTGGGTGAGCGGTGACCCTCCTCCTCCTCACCCACAGAGCCGGGCAGGGCTGCCCGTGGGGTGAGTGCTGATCCTCCTCCTCCTCCTTGCCCGCAGAGCCGGGCGGGGCTGCTCATGGAGTAAGCGCTGACTGGAAGCACACAGTACTTTGAAACTATGGTATACCTCTCCAACCCTGTCCATTGCACTCACAACAGCTGAACGTAGCAGCTGGCAGTGCACCCAATTTCCAGATGGGGAAAATCAAGTCGAGAGTGTCAACGAGTGCCCAGAATCACACGTCTAGCGATGGTGGAGCCAGGACAAGGTCGAAGTCCTCCCCTCCTGCAACACAATGCTGCCTCTCAGCATCCAGGTCACCAGCCTTGTCCTGAGACATTCTGCCTCTGGCCAAGGGCTGTCACTTGTCTCAGCTTCAAACAGTGTTCTAAGCCCCTTCCAAGGAGTCTCGTGATCCTGCTGACACCTGGGCCATCTAGGGTGATGTGAGTCATGGCCCTCAGACTGACAGGGACCTCCCAGCTGGGGAAAAGATCACCCAGCAATTCCTTGGGAAACCACAAGAGTTCAAGGCTGGTCCAACACACTCGCTGTTACCCCAAGGGCTCCCTAAGTCCAATAGGTGGATGAAAGAAAGGGCCACTGGGCTGGAGGCAGACAGCAGGCCAGCAGTCAGCGGAACCCAAGACCTGGGGCTGTGCACGGATGTGCTGTGTGGCCTTGGACATGGCGCTGCACCTCTCTGAACCAGTCTTGTTCCCTGTGAAGACCCTGTTACTACTGCATGGATGTGTGAGCTCCCAAATCCACTGCATCCGTGGGAGCATGTTGTAAACCGCCCCAGATGACCCTACAGTGATCATCACTACTGCTGTCCCCTCCGACTGCGAGCAGGGCTGCAGTGTGTGAGTCAGGGCTCTGGAGACGCCAGACCTGAGTTTGGGTCTCAGCTTTGCCACATCTAATTGTGAGGCCTTGGGCGGTGGGAGCCCTCTGAGCCTCCACTTCCTCATCTGTGAAGTGGGGTGTTTCCTGTAGGGTGTGAAGGACCGAATGAGTTAAAGCACACAAAATGCTTAGCATGGTGCCCAGCACACAGAAAGCTCTAGATCAGTGCTTGTTATCATTCCCGTTTCTCCCGGCCGCCCAGGCAGGGCCTTACCTGTCAGCGTGTAGATGAGGCAGCAGGCCAGCAGGGACAGCGTGGAGACCAGGGCCCAGTGGGAGAGATGCTGGTTGCGCATGCTGCAGTAGATGGAGACGGCAGCTTCGTGACACTGAGGGGAGAGGGCGGCCATGGGCCTCAGCGTCACCCGCAGCTGTTCAGAGAACCTTCACAGCCCAAAGACAGGGAACCCCAAATGGCCATCCACGGTAGGACGCACAAGTAAACCGCAGGACACTCACATAGACTGTTACGCGGCAGTGGAAACGGATGAACGTGAGCATGTGCCACGACAGACGAACCTCACAGATGTGATGGTAAGCAAAGAAGCCAGATACACTGATTCACAGTGCATGTTCCCATTGATGTGAAGTTCACACTACACGCCCAGCAAGTCTAGGGCAGAGCTTCCCAACGTTGGAATTGTTGACATTTGGTACCAGATTAAATTCCTTGTGGTGGGGGACCTGTCCTGTGCATTGTAGGAGGTTGCACTCACAGCAGCTGAACATAGCAGATGGCAGTGCACCCATTTTCCAGATGGGGAAAACCAAGACCAGCATCCCTGGCCTCCTTCCTCTAGACGCCAGTAACACCTCCCACCCCAGTTATGGAGCCAAAAATGTCTGCAGACACTGGCAACGTCCCCGGGGGAAAAACTGTCCCAGTTGAGAACAGCTGCTCTGCTTTATGGTGAGAGAAGGCAGAATAGTGGGCTCCTTGGGGGTGACTGTTGACTGGACAGGGCAGAGGGAGCCTTGGTGGGGGCTGACACTGCTCTAGATCCTATTTGGGTAACGTTACTTGGGAGTGCACATAAGTCATTGTGTATATTGTGATAGAGACTTCTAAGTGTAAAATATATGTAACTAATCACAAGAGCCCACCCTGTGATTCGGACCAGTTTATCTAGGGTAGGCCCTGGTTCTAAGGAGCCCTGGTGGTGCGGTGGTTAAGCACTCAGCTGCTAACTGAAAGGTCAGTGGTTTGAACCCACCCAGTGGCTCTTCAGGAGAAAGACCTAGAGATTTATGTCTGTAAAAATTACAGCCAAGGAAATCCTATGGGGCAGTTCTACTGTCATACAAGGTCACTGTGAGTTGGAATCGACTCGACGGCACCCAACAACAACAGGCCCTAGTTCTAAAAGGGGACTCTGGTGCGTGGCTAGGGTTGAGACGGGCTGACATAACTAAGTGCTCCCTGTGGGTTCCAGGGTCTCCCAGGATCCCTGAGGGAGGGCAGGTTCCCACCCTCATGTCCACTCACACACTCGCTCTGACTGAAACCACAGACTCCACCTGCTTTACTCCTGCCCCCTCTCGAGCTCCTTGTGGCCATGTTCCCTCACTTCCTGGGCTCTGAGTACCTCTGTCGCTGGATGCAGCCACGTGGTGGAACACAGGACAGAGCACGTGACAGCCAAAGAATGGAAGCAACCCAAGTGTCCACTCACAGACGGATGGATACATAAGTTGTGGTCTATACACAGAATGGAATACTACACAGTCATAAACAGAAATGAGGTCCTGATGCATGCCGCAACATGGATGAACCTTGAAGACATCATGCGGAGCAAAATATCAGTCATAAAAGGATAAACATCATATGATCCATTTATATGAAATATCCAGAATAGGCAAATCCATAGAGACAGAAAGCAAATCAGTGGTTGCCAGGGGCTGGGGAAATGGGTGGCTTTGGGGGTGATGGCTAAGGGGTCTGGGGTTTCTTTTTGGGGTGATGAAATTGTTCTAAAATTGATTGTGGTGATGGCTGCAGGACTCTATTAAAACTCACTAAATTGTATACTTTAAATGGATGAATTACACACTATGTGAATTATATCTCAATAACATAAAAAACATAAACATACCCAAGTGTGGTCATGGGGGCTGGGAAGAGGGTGCCCCACTTCTGTGTCTGGGGGTGGTATGTTAGAGTCAGCGCTCCTGATAATAGGTGGCCTCCCTGTGCTCGCCCCCCTCAGCCATGCCCCCATCTTCACCCTATGTCCTACCATCTTCATCTACGTTTGTCCTCCCCCATCCCTGGCCCCCAGGGTCAATCCTGCAGCCCTGATGGTCAGGATGCCTGTAGCCCGTGCCAGCCACAGTCTTCTACCCTACCCCCATCCCTTTACTTCACATCCACCCCCAACTCTCCACCATGGCATCCGTGTCCCTGGAAACCACAGCTCAGGCCTCGGTTGCTAGGACAACCGGCCGAGGGTGATGAGGCGGAGGTGAGGGGGCGCCCCTTGTAAGCATCTGAGAGCAGGCTCCCGGGGTGAGCCCGCCCAGCCAGATGGCACCGCTCAGGGTGGGAGAGGGGCCGATACACCAAGTCCAAACAGCTGACAGTGAAATCATCGCTTCGGATCTTTCAAAATATTGGGCGTGCAAGAAGAAATGTGAGAGATTCCAGTGAGGCGCTTGCTAAGCCCCAGAAGCAATATATCATTTATAAGGAAGATAAATGGAAACATTTCAGGATTTGAAAAAAAAAGAAAATGCAAGATGAAGAACAGAAACAGAAGCTGGCTGATGGGTGAGCAAAGAAAACACTCAAAGGCTATGAGGCTGAGGTGCTGTTTTCAACCCTGGGCACCTCACCTGGTGAAGCCTACTTTACTTCGGGGCAGTCTGGCTGTGGCTGTGGGTGGGTGGCTGTATTCAGAAGAGGCAGATCTTCCCTAATAAACAATGAAAGAGCAGAGTCCGCAGCCACCTGCTACAAGGGCTGGAAACCACAAGACAGAGCAGCAGGCAGGAGCCAAGCCCAGGCCCTCACTGGACCCCTTCTGCAGAGCGGCGGGCACCTCCCATGCTCCCCAAACGGGCCTGGGTCTCTCTCACCTCCATGCCCCATCTCCCTCCCCTTCAGCTGGTGCTCCCACTGGGTCTGCAGGATTCCCATCAGGCCTCCCATCCTCTGAATCTGCCCCTCCAGGCGAGATGAGAAGCTCTCCCCTGCAGTTCTACACACCCTCCATCCTTCCTCCCGCACCATCTGGGAAAATTCTAGCCCGTGCACCCCGCAGCTGCCTACACACCTGCCAGCCCCTCTAAACTGTAAGCCCCTGAGGCAGGGACCAGTGGGCTCTTTCCTCTCCATGTCCCGTAGGGCAGAATCCACCTGCGCAACGTGTGTGTGCATGACTCAGTAGGCGGCTCTAAGCCTCCACATCAAGTGACCAGTGAACCTCCTGCAGGGACCTTGCAGGGAGGGGCCAGGTCCCAGACTCCCCACGCTCAACACCAGTGCTAGTGTTAGGCTGTCAGTGGCCGTACGTACGTTCCCAGTTTCAATGGCAACTCACGCCTCACTGAACCCACCCCCAAGTCTGGATGTACAGTCTATGGAAGACAGCCTCAGGCCAGAGGTGGGTGTCTGCAAGCTCAGCATGCCCAACACAAGTCTTCAAAGCTCTCTCCCCACAGGGAGGCAATGAACTCCCAAGGGAACAGGCAGACATGCACGGCCTTCACACTGTCACACTCTGCGGTACAGATGCTAAAATTACCTGGAATCCAAAGCAGATGGTGGGGAAGACACTGAACACTGAGGTCCAGGAGGAAGGGCTGTAAATAGATGAGAACAGGTGTTTGTTAAAGAAAAGTTAAACTCAAAACAACCTTCCACTTGAAAGGACAAATTCTAAGTGGTGTCAAAAAAATGCAGCTGAGCATGACTGCAAGATGTATCTCAATTCCCGTGTCCACTACTGGGTTTTTGGAGATGGAAAGGATGTTGCTAAATGCAGCACATTCTACAAGCATCCTTCCTGACATACAGTAAGTTGACAGCCCATGCAAAGGCAGAGCTTGGGTGCAGAGCTGCTAGAAGTAACTCTCAGCTTACTTGGTGAGGGGCTGGGACACAGGCAGGATCCATCAAACATCCCTCAGAGCGTAAGGATGGTTTGAGTTCTGCCCAAACCACCCCAAGGGGGTAAGGGGTGTGCAAGAGGCAGAATCTTCAGGTCAAGCCCTCTCAGTGGTCCCCACTGGTGGTTCCCCGACTTCCCTGACAAGCACCCCTGGGTGCTAGCCCTCAGCACCTTCCGGGGACGGGCATCAGAGTGGGAGATGAACAGTGCCCATGCCAGAGCGGTGTTTCCTGGTTGTGGTCAGCAGGATAATGTCCCCAAAGACGTCCACGCCCTAGTCCCCAGAACCTGTGATTACATTACACCTTAGATGGCAAAGGGGACAGAGCAGATGGGATTGAGATTAAGGACCTTGAGCTGGGGAGATGATCTTGGATTGTACAGGTGAACCCAATCTGATCACATGAATTCTTGAAATCAGAGAGCCTTTCCTGGCTGTGGTCAGAGGAAGATGTGACTATGGAAGCAGGGTCAGCGAAAAGCTATGCTGCTGGCTTAGAAGATGGTGGGAGGGGCCACAAGCCAAGGAATGTGGGTGGCCTCTAGAAGTTGGAAAAAGCAAGGAAATGGATTCTCTTCTAGAGTCTCTAGAAGGAACCAGCCTTACCAACACCTGACTTTAGCCCAGTGAGACCCAAGTCAGACACTGACCTCCAGAACTGTGAGCTAATAAATGTGGGTTGTTTGAAGCCACTGAATGTTTGGTAAGTTGTGGCAGCAGCAATAGGGAACCCCTAGCTGCTCTGGCCGACTCCAGGCCTGGGTGCAGCTCGCACTGCCTCCTGACCATTTTATCCATCTTAGGAGATGGTCTCTCCATCCTGCTGACAGCTCAAGACACTTTCCTAAGTGTCATTCTTTCTATTGAAAATCATAAGAAAAGCCCCTGTGTGTCCACCACTCCATCCACCAGCCTCCGGTGCACACGTTCCGTCCTCCACCTGCTCCGGGGCTGAGCCTGTGGTGCTCCAACCTATGGCCGCATCTCCACCAGATTCCCTTGTCGACTCGAGGACACAGATCAGCCACAGATCCAGTTCTCTCTTGTGTCAGCGATTTTCCCTTCTCTCCTGGATCATCCCCATCAACACAAGACTGTGCTGTGATCGCTGCCTCCTTTGACCCCCATGTCCCTGTCCAGCCACTGCGCGTTTCTCTCCTCCACTCCTCCAAAGACTTGTTTGTCTGCACCGGCTCCTCTTCTCTTTTCCTGCTCATTTGAGCTGAATCCACCTGTCTTCTACCCCACGCCTCCCCTGCCACACATGGCTCATCCACTCACAGGGACCTCCATGGCCAAATGCAATGCTCAGTCCTCCGGGACCCATGAGCACAGAGGGCGGCTAGCACTCCCACCTCCTTGGAACACTCTCTGCTTGATTTCCAGGGCTTCGCCGTCCACTAGCTCCTCCTCATCTCCTGGCCTCCCCATGCTGCAGGCTCAGACTACAGGTCTCCATTGAGATCTCAGCCGGGCTCACGGCCCTACAGGGCATCTGGGGGCCAACATCAGTCCCGTTTCTCTCTCCAGCCCACATCTCAAGTCTCCTGAACTCCAGACACAAAGATCTGGCTGTGGACTCGATGTCTCCATTTAGACGTCTCAAAGCCATCTCCAACTTAACACAAGCCCTGCACCTGCTCCTCCCACCATTTTATCCAAGCCAAAAACCTCCAAGTCATCCTTGAGCCTCTCCTCGCTCTTGTTTCCCATATCCAGTCCATCACCAGGACCAGGACTTCATAGGAGGGAGCCGGGGCTCTCTGCAAACTTTGGGGACCTGGTCTTCCAAGGACCCCATCACTGCATCCCCTGTGCCTCCCCCATGATGCAACAAAGAGTCAGTCCCTTAGACTCACCTTTGCAAAAAATGGGGCTCCCGAACCAGGCCCTGAGGCCAGAAGTAATACTGCACCATGATGACTAGGGTCAGGTAGCAGGCAGCCAAGGTACCTAGGATGCTAAGACACACACAGTGTTAGGGGAGTGGGGCAGGGAGGGTGGTGCATACAATCAATGCACAGGAACAGAAACCTCGCCAGGTGGGGCCTTGGAGCCAGGCTGAGTGGGGCTTGCATGCCAGCTCTGCCTCCCACTAGCCAGGCGTCAGGCAGTGGCTCACCTCTCTGAACCTCAATGCCCGTATCTATACAACGGGGATGGCAGTAGATCACTTCAAGCAGAGCTGTTCTCAGGCCCAGAGGGCAGACCTGCCAAGTTCCTAGCGGTGCCAGGCCCACAGCAACAATATGTCTCCCTCTCCCCAGCATAATGCCAGCCAGTGTCACGGACGTGGCGTCTAAGCCTGGACACTGGCTCAGCCGCACTGCAGACGAGGAGGGGCCCCTAACTTGGCTAGACACATTCCATGGGTGGGAGGTGCACAGGGGGTGAGGGCTTCTGCCCACCATTTCTGTGTTCTAGTCCCCAAGTGAAAAATCTATGTCTGTGTTCAATACCACAAGGGAAAGGAAGGCTACAGCTTGTATGGGTAATTTTGCCAGGCTTTATTTTATAAAGCCTCAGACCATTAAAAAAAAAGGATCTGTGTATCTGTGCATAAAGAAGTCTACAACAATTCAATAGCAAAATGTTAGCAGCACATGATATTACAAGTCATTTTCCTTGTTGCTTGTCTATATTTTCCACCTATTACTTATATAATTTTTTCATTTGTTTTTCTTTTCCAAATGGGAAGGCCAATCCTGGCAGCTCTCTCCTAATCCCACCAAAAAAAACCCCCAAAAACCAAACCAGTTGCTGTTGAGTCAACCTCAACCCATGGTGACCTCATGTGTGTCAGAGTAGAGCTGTGCTCCACAGGGTTTTCAATGGCTGATTTTTCAGAAGTAGATCACCAGGCCTTTCTTCTGAGGTGCCTCTGAGTGGACGTGAACCTCCAACCTTTTGGTGCACAGCTGAGCACATTCACCCTTTGCACCACCCAGGGAAACCCAGACACAGGCGCTCTCCAGGTGGGGACCCAGTCAGTGCCACCGTGGCTCTGCCAGGAAGCACCTGCCACACCGTACCTCGTGTATTTCTGGAAGCCGATCTCCCGTGGGGTGGATAGTGGCAGGATGACCAGGATGGAGAGCAGGGTCAGGGTGAAGCGCTGGTCCACGTACCAGGGCTGCAGGGCCGGCAGTGCACTGGGCAGAAGGAAGTCACACACTGGCGGAGACAGAGGGAAGGAGCTCACACCCAGCGGGGGCCGGGACATGCCTCGATGTCCTCAGCAGTAGCAGCGGCATTCAACTCATTGGTACCCAATGACCCACCCAAGCACCTACCCAGAGGGGACACATCCTGCCCTGTATCTGCCCTCCCCACCATTGAAGCCTGGGCTTGCCTGTGGAAAGGCACATCCCTAAATACCCAACCAGAAACACGCAAGCAATACTCTCTCCATCCCTGTCGATCTACCCAGGGCCAGGGTGGCCCATTCCTGCCTCAGTGCTCAAACTGGTCGTGGCCCTCAACCATCGAGCCTGAACACAGCCTCAGCATCCTTCTCAGCACAGCAACACTGGCCGCTGACTGGAGTCAAAACTTGAGATCAACTCTACTTGCCACTGGCAGGCAAGGGCATTTTTGTGCCCATTCACCCACCTGCAGGTTCAGATACACCAACCTCAGGGCTTTTAAGACAGCACTTCCCAAGAGATGTTGTTGTTGTGTACCATCTAGTCAATTCTCTCTCACAGTGACCCTGTAAGACAGAGCAGAACTGCCCCACAGGGTTTCCTATGCTGTAATCTTTATAGGAGCAGATCACCAGTCTTTTTTCCCACAGAGCTGCTGGTGGGTGTGAACCATCGACCTTTCAGTTAGCAGCCGAGTGCTTACCCACTGGGCACCAGGGCTCCTTTCCTAAGAGATAGCTGCCTTTAATTTCAGCATTTCACAGCCAGGGGCCTTTTTGCTCATGGTCCAAAGGACAGACAGAATAAACAAACAGCAAAATGGTAGACCTTAATCCAATCACATCAATCAATAATTATGTTCCAACTAAAAGTCTGAGATTGTCAAAATGGATAAAAAAAGCAAGACCCAACCATATGCTACCTACAAGAAATGCATTTTAATATCCCAAGGCACAGTTAGGTTCAAAGTAAAAGAACGAAGAGAAAAACGTTATGCAAACATGAACCATAAGGAATCTGGGTGGCTATATCATATGAGGTAGATTCAATGGCAAAGTATCGTCAGAGACAAAAAAGGGATGTTCCATATGATGAAAGGGGCAATGTACATGTAGCTTAGAAAGGCATGGGACAAAAACTGAGAGAGAACTAAAGAGAGAAATAGACAAATCCGTAATCACAGCAAGCAATTTTATAGTTCTCATTCAGAAACTGATAGACTAACTAGACCAAAAAAAAAAAAAAAAAAAAAGGGAAAGAAAATTTGTAAGGCTATAGAAGATCTGAACAAAACTGTCAACCACGCTGACCTGACAGGCATTTCTAAACCACTGCCCCCAACAACTGCAGAATACACATCCTTTACAAGAGCACATGGAACGCTCAGCAAGACAGATCGCGTACTAGGCCACAGGCCAAGTCTTGATAAAAAAGACTGAAACCACACATACTTTGTTCTCTCTTAATATTAGGTAATTAAGATAGAAACCAAAATGATACCTAGAAAACTCCCAAATAACTGGAAATTAAACCACACAATTTTAAACACTCCGTGAGTCAAAAAAGACATCACAGCGAAAATCAGAAAATATTCTGAGTAGAATGAACATGAAAACAGAGCATATCAAAATTGGCAAGATGCAGCTAACACAGCGCTCAGAGGAAGATTTTCAATGGAGGGTAGGGGCCATGGTTGTGTGGGAGCTGAGAGAGTCATAGACATGTCCCAAAATTAAAGGTGGTCTTGGTCATCTCTTATCAGGGGCTTCTTTGCAGTTGCGTCAGTTTCCTCATCTGTAAAATGGGCACTTTCCACTAGACATTCTGGCTGCAGCCCCTCTCTCTCATCACACTGGTAATTATGCATCCAGAGTCTCCCTTCCCCAGATGCTGGGAGCAGGGTATGGTCTTGGCCTCCTCTGTCCCCCCAGCCCAGCACAGGGCCTTGCCTCCTGCTCACCAGGCTCCACGCCCTAGGGCAGGCCCCAACTCCCATAGAGGTACACTCGATTCTCACTATTTGTGGTAGTTATACTGTATTCAGTGTCTCTGCAGACACTGAATTAGGAAATACTGAACCACTGCACCAGGGAAAATACAGGGTTCGGTTCCCATGAGCCTATGGTCACAATATTTTCATCAACAGATCACTACATGACCTTGTTCTATATGTGTTTCTATTTAAAGATATCTTACTTAATATAGGTTGTTAATTCATTAACATTGAACTCACAGCCAACAGCACTATAACTCACGCCTGAACGAAGCTCAACTAACACACATATTTTCTCCCTAAGGCACACCACAGCCTTCTTGTGCTTAGGAACACAAGACAGCACTTCGGCACTATGCCTGGGAGCCACTTGAAACCATAAAATCACCAACAAATAAAGCACAGAAATGCGAAAAACATGGTGCTAAATACAGCACAAAAAAGACACTTGTTTACAGTATGGACATAAAGACAGAGTTGCTTTGTTCAACCTCAGCTGGGAAGGTGCACAAGGGGAGGCTCAAATCTTTCACCGCTCTGTGCACGTCTATGAATGACCATGAAAGCACTGTATTGATTTTGGGGTAAACGTTAGCGAGTCGGCAAATTTGCACATATGGAGTCTGCAATGACGAGGGCCACAGTACTCACGCTTCTCCAGCTGGTCCCCGATCACCCTGAGGAAGGCCACGGAGATCATGAGTAGGTTGATGATGAAACAGGCCTCACACAGCTTCCCGACGCTGGGGCCGCACAGCCAATGGACCACACTCTGGTAAGTGGGCTGGCCGCTCACAGAGGCTGCGTAGCCCAGGATAAGCAGCCCGCTGACCAGGAAGACCAAGGAGACCTGCGGAGCGAGACGGTCTGCCAGGGCGCCCAGGCCTGCGGTGCACCACCGTACCTACCAGCCAGCTACCCCTCAGGGCTCTGGTGCCGCTCTCCCCACTGGGCCTCTTGCCCACAGAGACCGAGGCTGCCCACAGCTCAGCGGGCCTCCACCAGAGGTGCCACCAGCGCCACCTCTGCCCTGAGACGAGATGTCTCTGGCTATGAGTCTGTGACCATGGGATTCTAACCATTCTGCTCCCGTTGGGCAAATGAGACATCAGACACCCGAAGAGTTAACCACACACGTGTGGCTGGAGAGGAAGGGAAGCATGGTGGTTAGGAACTGGAGGTGGAGCAGACATACCTGGGTTCAGAGTCTATCTGTTTCTCTGTCTGTGAAGCGTGGATAGCACTTACAGGGCTGTCGTGATGTGTTAGGATTAAACAAGGCACGCAAAGCACTTAGCTCAGGGTAAGGGCTCAAGAAATGGTGGCGGTACTTACTATTATTCTCCATACTCCCTCTCCTTCAGCTTAAACATTTTCTAACATTTGTTACAAAAATCTTCAAACATACAGGAAAGTTGAAAGAATTTTACAGTAAATAGCCATGTACCCACCACCTAGACTTGTCCATGAATAGATTACTGTATTTGTTTACCACATCTCTACCTGTCTACCCACCCCTCTATGCATCCATCAATCCATGTTCATTTTGGAAACATTCCAAAGTAAGTTGCAGACAGCACTATGCTTCCCCCCAAATACTTTGGCATGTATATCATTCATCAGAGCCTGATATTTATCTATGGTCCTTTTCTCTCTTGTGAGATAAAGTTTACATAAATGAAATGCAGCACAAATCTTTTATACATATATATGTGTACGTATATATATACATATATATACGTACACCTATATACATACGATTGTGAGGATAGCACAGGAGTGAGCAGTGTTTCATTCTGTTGTACAGTGTCACTATGAGTTAGAACTGAGTCGATGGCACCTAACAACATATACACACATATATATGTACATATATATATATATCCTCAGGGATGTACCCCAGAAGCCCCCTCATACCCTCTTCCAGTTCACCTCCCTACCCTAATCCTGATGTCTAACACTTTGGCTTAATCTTCTGTGTCACTGAAGGGGATTAAAATGTATCTGTTTCAGCAGAACCTGGATGCCTGACTCAAGAATCCAAAAGAGGCTGGAAGGAGGAAATCTGCCACCCCTCCTCCCTTCCTTGAGGGTCTGAGACCATCTAGCAACTTTGGGTTATGTTTGTCTTTACCAATTCAGTGCCTAAGGATAAACCATCCTGATTTCTTATTTCTCCAGACGAGAAACAAAAACACCCTGTCCTACTTCTTTTCATCTCCCATTGCACATTATTTGCTGCAAACTCCTACACCAACTCATTTGCACTTTCTCAATGGCAGGACTCTTCTGATGATGCCTTTCCTTGGGGGAAGGGATTATCAGGTGCAAGGTGCTTCTCAGAGCCATCCTCCCTCCTGTGATCACGCTAAGACAAGAAAAAGAAATAAAAAGCATCCAGAATGGAAAAGAAGAAGTAAAATTACCTCTATTCGTGAATATGATCCTACACGTAGAAAATCCCAGAGAGTCCACAAGATACCTTCTAGAGCTAATAGAGGAATTTAGCAAAGTTGCAGGGTACAAGGCCAACAAACAAAAATCAGTTGGGCTTCTATACACCGCCAATGAGAAATCTGAAAGGGAAATTAGGGGAACAATTTCACTGGCAATAGCATCCAAGAGAATAAAATACGTAGGAATAAATCCGACCAGGATGCAAAGGACCCATACAATGAAAATTATAAAACATTACTGAAAGAGATTAGAGAAGACTTAAATAAATGGAAAGATCTTCCATGTTCATGGACTGGAAGACTCAACACTGTCAAGGTGTCAACACTACCAAAGCGATCCACAGATTCAACACAATCCCAATCAAAATTCCAACAGCCTTCTTTTCAGAAACAGAAAAACCAATCCTCAACCCTATACGGTGTGGCAAGAGGTCCCAAATAGCCAAAGCAATGCTGAAAGAGAAGAACAAAGTAGGAGGACCCACACCTCCCGATTTCAAAACATACTACACAGCTACAGCAATCAAAACAGCCTGGCACTGGTACAACAACAGACACACAGACCAATGGAACAGAATTGAAAGCCCAGAAATAAACTCATACATCTATGATCCAGTGACCTGCGACAAAGGGCAGCACAAATCTTAAGTGTATCATTTGAAGGGAGTCCATGGATGATACAGTTAATGTGCTCAGCTGCTAACTGAAAGGCTAGAGGTTCAAGTCTACCCAGAGGCACCGCAGAAGAAAAGCCTGGTGATTTGCTTCTGAAAAATCAGGTATTGAAACCCTATGGAGCACAGTTCTACTCCAACACACATGGGGTCACCAGGAGTCAGAATCAACTCAACAAGTGGTACTAGTTATCATTTGAAGAGTTACAACAAATGTTCAAGTGCCACCCAAACCCCTACTGAGAAACAGAATATTACCTCCCCCCGGAAAGTTTCCTCATGTCCCTTCCCAATCAATTCCTACCGCCACCTACCCTCAGAAGCAACTACTGATTTAATATTTGTCCATTTTTGTATACTTTCATAACTGGCTCCTTCCACTCAGCATGATGTTTGTGAGATTCATCACATTATGGGGGTTTATCATCAGTAGTTTAAACCTACTTTTGCTGATTAGTATTCTGTTGCATGAATGTATTACAATGTGTTTATCCATTCACTGGGTTGATGGACAACTGATTTGTTTTCAGTTTTTGGCTACTATGAACAATGCTGTGCTAAGCATTCCAGAACAAGTCTTTTCGAGGACACATGTTTTCATTTTTCCTGGACACATACCTAGAACTGCTGGGTGTTGGGGCAGACATACATTTAATTTTATAAGAAACTGCCAAACTGCTTTCTTTCCCAAGTGGTTGTGCCATTTGATACTCCCATCAATGATGTGTACAAGCCCCAGCTGGCACTCAGAGTCAGGTACTTCTGAGCCTCTCCCGAACAGACCGCTGTGTGTTCCTAAGCTGGGCTTAGTCTCCAAGTGCAAATTCCCGTCCTCTGTTTCTATGGAGGAGCGCAGTCCTGAGTGGGAGATACTCAGCCAGAGGAGAAGCCTCCTTACACACTTCGGACACAGCTCACGCTACTGGACAAGTAGGTTGATCCTACGTTACTCCAGAAGCTGGAACTAGGGCTGCCAAGGAGAAATATGAAACTTGAAATTTCAGAGAACAACTGCCCAGGCTCCCTCCAGCCGCTACACTTTGCCTGTGCCACCGGCTCCTTGGCCCAGAGCACCCTCCCGGCCTTCACTCCCCCTTCACCTAGCAAACTCCTGCTTACTCTCTGTGCTTCCTTTCCAAGGGCACTCCCTCCCTCCAAACAGCCTCCCTGACACTCCCACCCTCAGGCGAGGCTAAACCTTCCACTTCAGGCTCTGATAGAAGCCTGATAGGAGAGCTGCAGGTTGGCTGCATCTATGCCCACACCTTCCTTGGGCACATTACTGTCTGTAGTGGGTTGAACGGTGGCCTCCAAAAAGATATGTCTGTGTCCTAGCCTCCGAAACCTGTGACTGTGACCTGTAGGTCTCTGCAGATGTAATTCAGACTTTCGAGATGAAATCATCCTGGATTATTCAAGTCGGCCCTAAATCCAATGACAAGTGTCTTTAAAGAGGCATGTGAGGAGAAGACACAGACACAGGGGAGGAGGCCATGTGAAGACAGAGGCCGAGACTGGAGTGATGCAGCCATAAGCCAAGGAACGCTTAAGGATACCACACACAGAAAAAGGCAAAGAACGCTCCTCCCCTAGAGCCTTCAGAGGGATCACGGCCCTGCTGACACCTTGATTTTGGATTTCTGACCTCCAGAACTGTTAGAGGACAAATTTCTGTTGTTTTAAGCTATGGTGTCTATGGTACTTTGTCACAGACAAAGCCACCCAGACACAGCTCCTCGGGACTGTAAGGCCAGATTCGTGAGTGCTGTCGAAGTCTAATGGGCTCTGCGACCCTCTGCTGCGAACCACTCAGCTCCCTGTCTGGTGCTGTGTGGTACTGCCTCTCCCCTCATTAACAGAGAGAAAGGAAATCCCAGATGCACAGTTGGTAAGACAGAGAGCTCTGCAGAAGCAACACCTAAGAACCACCTGGAAAACCAGAAGCCATCTCCCCCCTGCCCCTGGAGAGCCCCAAACACACATCCCAGGAACTCACCAGTTCCACAAGGAAGGCCGGGGCCGGCCTGGTGGAAGGCCCAGGGGAAGTTGAGCAGGCCAGCCCCCAGGGCAGGAAACAGTTACTTGCAATTGTACGTATATTACAGGGTTCTTTGTCATCTCTCATCCACCAGACTCTAAGCTCTCTGAAGACTGGTACCTTGTTTTTTTTTTGCCCCACAGAAGTGTGTGGCACAAAGCAGCCACTCTGTAAATATTTGTGGACAAAAGGAAGCGGAGGGCGTCAGGCGGAGCCTCTGCCTGTGACTTGCTAAGGCAATGAACTGTCTCTACAGGAGCGGGTGACCTGCTGGAGGGGACTGTGTACCATGAACAGGAAAGCAGCCTTTACCGCTGGCCCAAGCCCACCCCAAAGAGAGGGCTGGTGTTTCATTACATCACACATGCCAACGGGTCATTAGAGACCTACAGCCGCACCTACTGAAGTTGGGATGTGGGGAGTTTGCAATGCTCCACAGGCCGGAGTAGGGCCTAGGTAATGGTGTATCACAGGCTAAGAGAAAGGCTGGCTTCAGACTGAGGTCACCCCAGCTAGGCCACCTCCCTGGCAGCTCTGGAAGGAAAAGCACTGCCTGGATGGGTGTAAGGGTTGCTGATATCTGCCTGATTCTTTCCCTGGCAGTGTTTCCATGCATTCATGTTTGGGGTCTCCTTAAGGGCTCAAGTCTACTCAAGGCAGGGGTCTCTAGACCCTCCTACGCAAAGTGCAAGCCACCAGCAGCAGCCGCGTCACTGGGAGTTTGTAGGAAATGCACAATCTCAGGCCTCCCAGACCAACCACATTTCAGAATCTGCATCTCAGCAAGATGCCCATATGACTCCTTTACAGCCCTTCCCAGGGGCCCTGGGTTGGTTGCATCTGTGCCCACAAGCCCCATCCGTTTTATCTTTAATCCTTTGTGGCCTGAGAGCAGGGCTTCTTCCTCAACGTCCAGTAACAGGAGTCTTACTGTTGCACTCGTCCAAGCACAGCCATGCTGCCCCCATACATGCACAAGAAGCTCTTGCCATTTCCACTGTGGCTGGGCTCACACATCACCTCCTCAGAGCAACCTTGCTGCCCACCTTGCAGGCTGTCCTACCCTTCTGTCACCTGACCCTCCCAGCACTTACCACCACGGGAAATGATGTTCTCTGGTGACTTGTATCTTGTCTGATTTCCCTCTGAAAACGCAAGTGTCACAAGGACAGGGGCCACACTGTCTTATTCATCCAGTGCTGGAACAACGCTAGCACAGAGCAAGCACTTGACCTACACTGGGGATGGGAGTGGGGGTGTATAATGGACCCAACCACAGCAGGAAGCAGCAGTTCCCAAACGAACTTGAAAGGCCTTGTGGCTCACAAACGGTTAAAGCTCATCAATTACCCGCTGGCTGTCATAAAACAGGGGAACTCGTGTCAGAGAGCTGACCATAAACGGCATAGTTCTTATAAGCCCGGGGGAAGAAGTGCAGAAAATAACATGACACTGTGCTAGTCAGCTGGCTCTCCTCCACTAAAGGAGGTGCAGCCTCTAGACTCGGGGATCCAGGCCTCGGAGTCAGAAGCAGTAGTAGTCAGCAGCCAGAAGAAGTTGAACCCCCCACCCCCGAATTCACAGAAGGCCTGTGCATGTGTGCACGTGTGCATGTGCATGCTGTGCTGTGCGTGTGCACATGTGCTGTGTGTGATGTGCACACGTATATGTACGGGGGAGGGACTCACTCCAGGCATGAGCTCTGTTGTACACAGGATTTAAAATTCGTTATCAAGCTGAGCCCAGCAGACAAAAACAGTCAGCAAGGCCAGCGGCCCAGACACAGCTCCTCGGGACTGTAAGGCCAGATTCGTGAGTGCTGTCGAAGTCTAATGGGCTCTGCGACCCTCTGCTGCGAACCGCTCAGCTCCCTGTCTCGTGCTGTGTGGTACTGCCTCTCCCCTCATTAGCAGAGAGAAAGGAAATCCCAGATGCACAGTTTGTAAGACAGAGGGCTCTGCAGAAGCAACACCTAAGAACCACCTGGAAAACCAGAAGCCATCTCCTCCCTGCCCCTAGAAAGCCCCAAACATACATCCCAGGAACTCACCAGTTCCACAAAGAAGGCCGGGGCCAGCCCTCCGGCCTGGTGGAAGGCCCAGGGGAAGTTGAGCAGGCCAGCCCCCAGGGCAGATTTCATCAGGATGAAGACAGCCCCGAGCGAGGACAAGCTGGGGGGTGCCGCAGCAGGGGAAGCTTTTTCTGCAAGGCCCCTGCTTTCTGCAGTCTGTCCCTCCATGGCTAAAGGGGACACAACAAGCAGTGGAAGGGCTTGATACCCAGGTCCAGGCATCATTCCTGAGACAGACAGGGTCCTCCCTGCAGGGGTCCACCTCCCCATCCCCAAGCCACCATCTACTTCATCCTTCGCCTCTGCCCCCTCCCAAACTGTACAGTCTTCATGTGCCAATCAAATCTAGCCCCCCTCTTCCCCTAAACAATTGCCCACTCCTTCCCCCACCCTTCTTTCTACCCATTTATCCTCACTTCGGCCTTCCGTTCAACCCCGAGGACCTCCCCCGACTTCCAAACCAGATTCTCCCTCCTGGCAATCCTTCCACCCCCTCAGCTCCCCAGCCGAAGCCCCCCTGCTGGCACACTCATCCTCACCACTAGATGCCAACTTTAGGGCAAGAGACGGTCCTCAGCCACAGGGATGGACTCAGGCTCCCTCCAGGCAGGTCAGCTGCTTTTCTGGAGTCCCGAGGGGTGGAAAAAGGAAGATTCTAGCTCTGCTGAGGGGTAAACAAGTCATTAATTAAGAGGGTCCTAGAAAACATGTATAGGGGTCATGTCCCAAGTCCTCCGGGGACAGGGACAAGTGAGCAGAGCCATCTGACCCAAGAACTTGCTGCTTCTGAGACTTCTGACAGAGCCAGGGCTGGCTGGAGTCTTAAGACTCCCTCCTCCACCCCCGATCCTGGCTCAGCCCTTCCCCCAATCCTGGCTCAGCCCCTCCCCCCATCCTGGCTCAGCCCTTCCCCGAGGGTGGTGCTTTCTCCGGCTGCCCTCATCCCCCACCCAGGGTTATAGCAGCACAGCTGGGAGAGATCAAAGGGGCAGGGGCACACTGCAGTGACCCCCGAGGTCACTTCCTCAAAGCCTCTTCCCTCAGGTGCCCTCTGAGGCCAGGTCTCAAGGAGGACGGCATGGAAAGCGGACAGACCCTCAGGGTCTGGTCCTGCCACTTGCCGACAAGGTGAGCTCTGAGCTCCAGTGTTATAGATTTAATTGTGTCCTCTAAAAATGTGTCAACTTGGCTAGGCCATGATGCCCAGTGTTGTGTGGTTGTCTACCGTTTTGTGATCTGATGTGATTATCCTATGTGTTGTAAATCCTAACCTCTATGATGTTAATGAGGCAGGATTAGAGGCAGTTATGTTAATGAGGCAGGACTCAATCCACAAGATCAGGCTGTATCTTGAGTCAGTCTCTTTTGGGAAATAAAGAAGAGGGACCTCATACCAAGAAGGAAGTGCCAGGAGAAGAGTGTGTCCTTTGGATCTGGGTTCCCTGCATTAAGAAGCTCCTAAACCAGGGGAAGATTGATGACAAGGACCTTCCCCCAAGAGCAGACAGAGAGAGCGAGCCTTCCCCTAGAGCTGGCACCCTGAATTCAGACTTCTAAGCCTCCTAAACTGTGAGGGAATAAATATGGTTGTTAAAGCCATCCACTTGTGGTATTTCTGTTATAGCAGCACTAGATAAATAAGACACCCGGCTTCCTCATCTGCAAAAGGAGGCTCATGCAACCACCTGGCAGGGGCCGCGGGGTTGGAAACTCCTCCTGCAAGAAGAGCAAGCAGCAGGCAATCAGCAGGTGCTTCCTCAGGGTTGGCTTCTTCTACTACCCTCTTCCTCCCAGCTTCAACCAGTGCTCCTCAAATCACCTAGCGTGTGTGTGGGGGTGGGGGGGGGGTTGTTCAAATGTACCTGCAGGTTCCTGTGGCCTGGGTGGGGCGTGAACTCTGCATCTCTAACAAGCTCGGGAGGCTGATGTTGCTGGTCCGTGGACCACACTGAGTGGCAAGACTCTACTGTGCTGACCATCTCTCTGAAACCACACTGGCACTCATCGTCAGATACATGGTCAGCAAAGACAGCAGGATATTGGAAATGGCCCCATCCCAGGAAACGCAGCACATAAAGGTCACATCGTGAATTCTCATTTGGACCTGTTTATTCCTGGAATCCAGGCTCCCCTAACTCCCTTTTCTCAACCCCAGCATACATCAGAATCCCCCAGGGGGCATGTAAAAACACATGGCTGGGCCCACCCCCAGAGTTTCCCATTTGGCAGGTTGGGGTGGGGGTTGGGAATTTGCATTTTTAACGAGAAGTCTGTGATGCTTAGCCTTGTCCCCATCTTGAGAACCACTGCTCTAATGTAAACATCCTCAGAGTCCAGAGCCTAGCCTCCCCCAATCAGTCCTTATCTGCCAGCCCCACACCAGCCCCAAAGGCCTTTTTCTTGGCATGGTTTCTAATAGCCTCAGCCCCCAACTCTGGTTACCTCAAGGGCAGACTTGGTTGGGAGCCCTGCATGGCAGTGAGTATCAATACTGTGTGACCTGCTGAACCATCAGTTTCCCACGTCCCCGAGAGAGAACAGAGCCAGGATGTGGGGCAGAAGCTGGGACACCGTCTTGGGCGGCACTGAAGTTGCTACCCTGAAAGGAAGGTTACCATGAGGGGGGCCTGCCATGAGTACACTCTCCAGCTCACTGAATCCTCACAACAACCATCTGGGGGTGCCACCATTATCCTCACACCCAGAGTGGGAATGGGGCTCAGGCAGGGTCAGCAGGAGGCTTACAGTGTCACAGCTGGGAAGCGACAGGACCTCATTGCAAAGCCTGCCATGTCCTGCTGCCTCTCTGCACCCCTAGCCCTGACCCAGACAAGGCCCCGGACAGGAAGTCCTGAGTGAACAAATGAGTGAGTGAGTGAGTGAATGAATGGATGGATGGATGAGTACAGACTCCAGAAGAGAGAAGAAAAGGAAAGTTGGTTTCCCCCATGTATTCATTTCCTGTGCCTGCTGTTAACAAATTACGACAAACTTGATGGCTTAAAGCAACAGAAAGTTATTGTCTCATAGTTCTGGAGAACACGCTCCTTCTGGAGGCTCTAGGAGAGGATCCTTCCTTACCTCTTATAGCTTCTGGTGGTTCCAGGTGTCCCTGGGCTTGTGGCCATATCACTCCAATCTCTGCCTCTGCCTTCTCTTCTCTGTCTACTCCTCTTCTTGTAAGGCACTTGTCATTCAATTTAGGGTCCATTCAGATAATCTAGCATGAATGTATCTCAAGATCTTCGACTTAACTACATCTGCAAAAAACCTTTTTCTAAACAAGGTCATGTACACAAGGTGGACATATCTTTTGGAAGCCACCATCCAACCACTACATCCCACGTATCTGGGATCTGATTGTGTTCTCAATCTTTTTATCATTCAGTCATTCAACAAACACTGACTGAATGAGCGCCTACTGTATGCCAGGCCCTAGGAGTCAGAGGGGCAAGAGAAGGTCTCTACTCTGGTGGGTGAGGTCAAGACTAGACAATAACCACAGTCCAATGGGAGAAAGATTGGGCCATGGGGTGGCAAAGTTTGTGCCCCAAGAGTGAAGGGCGGGAAAAAGCCTTCCGGAAGGTGGGGACATCCTGTGTAAGGGCTCAGTTAGGGGCAGGAGTTGGTGCTCCTGGAAAGGCCCACCGCGTTCTGAGGTTTCCTGGGTTAGACCCGGGGGGCTAAGCTGGGTGAGCCATTCTTGCTACAGCAGGGCTTTAAACTCCACCTTCTCCATGATGGAGGTTTAAACCACCTGATGATGGCGCCGGACCCAGCATGGAGCAGGGACTGTGGACGTGGCTGCAGGTAGGGTGGTGGAGGGGGCGCACACCGTGGCGCTCTCTGCCCAGCTTGCACACACTGCAATACTGCACACAGCTAGCTCTCCCCCCACATTCACCCACAGCCAAGTCACTTTACTCTTTCTCCCAAATCTGGCCTCCTGATCACAGTGAGAAAGAAGACAAAGAGGCCTTAATCAGCGGCTGGGGGCTTTGTAACTCCTTCATCTCAGCTTCTGGGGCCAGGGGCCACTGCCCACCCTACTGGTGGGCCCCTCATTAGCTGCCCATTAGTGTGCATGACTTAGAAATTGGCCAGCAGCCTGTGAAATCTCAGGCAAGGGGGAGAAGCTCTTCATTCTACAGGGCTTTGATATCTGTTCTCTGCCAGCATCCAGGGCTGCATGACCTTTCCTCAGAGCTGTGGAGAGGCGTCCTGCTGGGGCCCCTGTCTGTGGCCAGCGGCCACTTCTGCTGAGCCCAGCCAGGCCTGGCGCCTGGCTCTGGTGTGGAGGCTTCAGGGAGACAATGAGGGTGGCTAGGAGGGGAGGGAGATAAGGAAGCAAAGCTGATGATGTAACCTGCACTCTGCACTGACACCTCCCACCAGCTGGCCAATGGGGACCACACAAACAGGGACAGTGGATGATCCCAGTAAATCTTCTTTGCACAGAATGACTATTCTGAGAAGTAGGGGAGGCTCATAAGGAAAACGAAAGGGGCAGTTTTCTCTTCACTGCTGTGGGAACCAGGCATATCCTTTTTGCCCTTTTTACCATGGCTAATGGGAAGCTCAGAGCTGTATTCTGGATTTGGTGAGAGCAAGTGTCTTAGTTTCCTAGCGCCACCATAACAAAAATGCCACAAAATGCTTTAAAGATCAGAATTTACTGTCTCATTGCTTTGGAGGCTAGAAGTCCAAATTCAGGGTGACGCAGAGCTATTTCTTCTTTGTGGTCTCTAGGGGAAGGTCCTTCCTAGTCTCACTCAGCTTCTATAGACCCGGGTGTTTCTTGGCATTCCTTGGCTTGTGGACACATCCTCAAATGGTGTCTTGCCCGTGTGTGTGACTCACCATGGCTATTTTCTCTTTGTATAAGACACCACTAAGAAGGGATGAGGGTTTAGGACCCATCCTACTCTGAATGTGGGCCAGGGGTGCCCAGCTGTGGTCACCATTTGTGTCTTATCTGCACATAGCATCTTATAAAGTTGCTGTAGTCAGGGCACCTGCCTGACTCTCAAAGGAGAAAGCCATGGTTAGGAATGAAACTGGGGTCCGACCTCTACAACTGGCCCCTCCAGGGAACCTACAGTCTCAGAGACACCCAGGTATATTCTGTGGTTGTGGTTGTTTTGTTCATTCATTCGTGTTTTGGTTCT